AGTACAGTGAAGTAAAGTGACGTATGATGGGCAGTAAAGTGACTTTATAAAGGGCGGGGGGACAGGTTAAGAAGTGTTCAAGAGTCCAACAGCAGAGGGGAAGAAACTGTTCTTGTGGCGGGAGGTTCTAGTCCTGATGGACCGCAGCCTCCTGCCTGAGGGGAGTGGTTGGAATAGTCCATGTGCAGGGTGAGAGGGGTCGGCTGTGATACGACCAGCCCGGCCTCGAGCTCGGGCGACGTACAGGTCCTGCAGCGATGGAAGGCTGCGGCCGATCACTTCCTCTGCAGAGCGCACAATGCGCTGTAGTCTCTGTTTGTCCCTGACTGTGGCTCCAGCGAACCACACGGTGACGGAGGAGGTGATGGAGGAGGTGATGGAGCAGGTGATGGAGGAGGTGATGGAGGAGGTGAGGATGGACTCGATGATGGCCGTGTAGAACTGCACCAACATCTGTGCAGGCAGCTTGGCTTTCCTGAGCTGCCGCAGGAAGTACATCCTCTGCTGGGCCTTCTTGATGAGGGAGCTGATGGTCGGCTCCCACTTGAGGTCCTGGGTGATGGTGGTGCCCAGGAAACGGAAGGACTCCACAGAGGTGATGGGGGAGTCCATCACGGAGGGTGGGGGCGGGGGGACAGTGCTCTTCCTGAAGTCCACAGTCATCTCCACACTGTCTTCTGGGCGTTCAGTCCAGGTTGTTACCACTGCACCAGGACACCAGCCGGTGCACCTCCCTCCTGTAGGCGGACTCATTGTTGTTGGAGATGAGTCCAATGAGGGTGGTGTCGTCCGCGAACTTGATCAGCTTCACGGAGTCGTGGCTGGAGGTGCAGTGGTTGGTGTACAGGGAGAAGAGCAGGGGAGAAAGAACACAGCCCTGTGGGGCTCCTGTATTTATAATCCGAGAGTCCGAGACATTCTTCCCCAGACGCACTCGCTGCTTCCTGTCCGTCAGGAAGTCAGTGATCCACCTGCAGGTAGAATCGGGCACGTTGAGCTGGGAGAGCTTGTCCTGGAGCAGGGATGGCAGGATTGTGTTGAAGGCAGAGCTGAAGTCCACGAACAGGACCCTGGCGTAGGTCCCCGGGGAGTCCAGGTGCTGTAGGATGTGGTGGAGGGCCAGGTTAATGGCGTCGTCTACAGATCTGTTGGCTCTGTAGGCGAACTGCAGGGGGTCCAGGAGGGGGGAGGTGAGGGACTTGAGATGGGAGAGAACCAGGCGTTCAAATGACTTCATGACGACAGACGTAAGTGCTACAGGTCTGTAGTCATTGAGTCCTGTGATCCTGGGCTTCTTCGGGACGGGGACAATGATGGAGGATTTGAAGCAGGCCGGGACATGGCAGGACTGCAGAGAGGTGTTGAAAATGTCAGTGAACACAGGAGTAAGCTCACTGGGGCAGTGTCTCAGAGTGGCCGGAGATACGTGGTCCAGGCCAGGAGCTTTGCGGGGGTGCAGCCTCAAGAAGAGTTGTTTTATCTCATTAGCGGCTATTGTTAGGCTGGGGGCAGGGCTGATGGGTGGGTCGTTAGAGTAGTGGGGGGTGGGGGAGGGAGAGGTGTCAGGAGCAGCATCAAAGCGACTGAAAAATAAGTTCAGATCGTCAGCTAGCTTGTGGTCGTCAGCACAGGGGGGGGCTTTGGGTTTGTAGTTGGTGATCTCCCGTAGGCCCCTCCAGACAGAAGCAGTATCGTTGTTACCAAACTGCTCCTGTAGTCGTTCTCTGTGCCGGGACTTGGCTGCTTTCAGTTCTTTCCTGAACTGATATTTAGCTGCTTTGTAGCCGCCACGGTCCCCCTCCCTGAAAGCAGACTCCTTTGCTTTCCTGAGCTGCCGGAGTTTAGCAGTGAACCAGGGTTTGTCGTTGTTATAGATGACCCTGGTCCTTGTTGGAATGATGCTATCCTCACAGAAGTGAATGTATGACGTCACAGTGTCCGTATATTCATCCAAACTATCTGTGGCAGCTCTGAAAAGGTCCCAGTCTGTAGATTCCATGCATGCGCGCAGCTCTTCCACAGCTTCATCAAACCACACTTTGGAGCTCCTCATTGCAGGTTTCGAGAGCTTTAGTCTCTGTCTGTAAGCAGGAACCAGATGTATCATGGAGTGATCTGAGAAGCCGAGGGCTGGCTTGGGAACAGCGCGAAAAGCTCCGCGCACGGTGGTGTAACAGTGATCCAGAGTGTTCTCCTCTCTGGTCGGGCATTTGATAAACTGTCTGTATTTGAGTAATTCCTGGCTCAAGTTTCCATTATTAAAATCCCCCAGGATAGGGTTAGGGTTAGAATGAATGAAACAATTTCGCCCTGCAGCTCCAGAGCACAGTCCGGGATCCGCTCATTTAGCCAGGTCTCTGAAGCAGAGGACACAGAATGAAGTCCTTGTTTCTTCTCATGAGCAGGCTGAGTTCATCCATCTTATTGCCCAGTGAGCGTACGTTGGAGAGAAAAATGCCGGGGAGAGCCGTGCTCCTCTCCTCCTCAGACGCACGAGCAGGCCTCCGCGCCTTCCCCTTTTACGGGCCCACACTTTTTTGGCTAGAACATGAACTAAATCGCCGCAGATGCCAAGAAAACAGGCAATAGGTCCATGGGAACGGTGGGTCGGATGTTCATAAGTTCCTCACGGGTGTAGGAACAGCCAGATGCGCAGTTAAAAAGTAAAAACAAAAGAAAAAGAGAGCAGCAAAGAGCCGTGTCGACCGTACGAGGCGCCATCTTTGTTAGCTTTGACAGAAGACGACAAAAAGAAGAAGACGACCTCTGGTTCATTCTGAACAGCTCTTCAGAGAGTGCACATCACAAACAGCTCAAGTCCAAAATCTGTGCTCTACCTTTTTTACACCTGATGAAGACCAGTCAAGGTCGAAACGTCGTGTTTTAGTGTTTTATCTTTTATAAAGCTCTTTTAACGTCCTTTTATTATTCTGAGAACCTGCGCATTTTAAAATTTCTTAGACCTTTTAAGGTTTTTCTTTTGCCTCCCATAACATAAAGGAGGCAATCTGAAGTTTTAAACCTTTTAAACACTTTTAATAAAGTCTTCTATAAAAATAAAAAAAACAAAAAAATAAAACAAAAAATGCCAGAATACACCTGGACTCCCTACTCACCATACACCCGCAGCAGTCCACAGTGGACCCACTCCCACCGGGATTGGCCCACGTACGGTCGGAGGGGCCACAGTCTGCGGGAGGTCAATAGCCATCAGGGCGAGTATGGGAGAGAGCAGAAGGGGTTCCCCATGGGAACGCGGCCCCCGTAGACGGCCCAATGAGTGGACTAGAGTCCCAGAGAGAGAGAGGGGACGTCCACATCATTACAGACGTACACACACCCATAGTCACCGGGAAGAGCCCACTCCCCCTCACCACTATACCTGGAGCGCCAGCTACACCGCCCAACCCGGACGGAGAGATAGGGCCCGTACACCTCCCGTCTCCACACGCTGGAGACGGGAACACATACACAAACCTAACCCTAAACCTAAACCTAACCTTAACCAGACCTCATCCAACCCAATATTAGAAAATTTAACTCCAACCCCAAACACATATCCTAATTTTAACCACCTCACTATGAATACCTAAAATGTTAATCACCTGGACACTAAGCCTAATCTGAACTATCCCCGCAAATCAAAACCAATACATCACCAGACCAAAGTCCTACTTTTTATTCAGTCCATATCTAACCCAACACTATAGAAACAAATCCACCAACACCATTGATTAATAACAATTTTTATTCATAGAAAAACACAATATAACAACATAATATCCACATTAAAACGGTGTAATTTTTATTAGAGAAAACCACACTAACCCTAAGCCCCAAAACAACGTCATAATGACACCTGATGCATACCACCTGCCAGTAGGAGGAGCATTAAGGCAAGGGGGCGGGACCACCCTTTAAAAACAAGCTCCACCCGTGGCTCTCATTCAGTCTGCGTTCTAGGCCTGATGAAGACACATCTGTCGAAACGTTGCACCTACAGAATACAGACTTTGAAAAACCTTAACAAAACATTAATTTATTTAAACAAAACAGCGTTCAACTATGAGGCAAGGCTGGCCTGAGTACGACCCAGGACCTCCGCGTATGAGTGGAGGGCCAGCGCCTACTCTCTCCCCCGGGAGAGATTCACCCACAACCCCAGCCTAACCCTAACCCTAACCCTACATACTCTACAGTTAGGCTGGGAGTATGGCGAATGACGGACCTTCGTCTCGCCCCGGTGGTCTCCAACGTTGGCGGGTGCACAGCCGCAGTGTTGACCGCCAGAGCCGGAGGACCCGATGGGGGTCTGGCAGCAGGGAGAAGGCCCGTGCTACCGCTGCTTCTTTTAGAAGACAGCCCCATGAAAGAAATCATACACATTTGAGTTGCCTTGTGTACAATATGTGCTAGACAAATAAGTAGTAAGTAAGTAAGCTTTATTTATATACCGCCTTTCACAGACCAGAGTCACAAAGCGGTTTACAATTGTTAATTTTTTGGGCACTTGTCCTCTCACTCCACACAGAGATGGGAGCGGGGTCGCCGAACAGGAGGCGCATGCCAGACCTATTGTACATATTTTTAGTGGTAGGGGAAACCGGAGTACCCGGAGGAAACCTACGCAGACACAGGGAGAACATGCAAACTCCACTCAGAAATAAACTTGAAACGTGAAAGTTTTGCCTCAATATATTGCACTCTCCTTTTGTATGTGGCACTAATAACCAATTATAGAAACTGTTTTTATACTTAGTTGAAATGTTTAAAAGTTTTATTTTGAAGTTTCCATTTCCGGTGAAGATTTGTGAATTAGCATATGACGCTGGCTCCGTTTGTTTGACGTTATGACTCATCCTTTTCAAGATGGCAGCGCACCTGCAGCAGCTGCGATAATCCCGAGTTTTATCTTCAAACATTGCGGCTTTTACCTCAGTAACATCTCCACAAATCACACAGGCGCTTTCATTTACCTCACATTGTTTGCCTTCCTCAAAATGTCCACGGAGGAGCTGTCAGCGTCGGACAGCGAGGCGGTGATGGTGGCTGGGACCGGGAAGAGGTGGGCTCCGGTGGGCGCTGTGGCTTCCCCCAAGGAGGACCAGTCGGAGCAGCCGAGGAACGGGCGCCCTGGCCCGGGTACAGAGGCGCAGATGACGGTGAAGATGAGGAAGCTGGAGGAAGAGCAGGAGCTTTTGAACTCGTCGCTTCTGGCTCTGACCTCTCACTTTGCGCAGGTTTGTATTTTGTTATTTGGTTTGTAGTTTAGTGTTTTTGTTGTGACAGCTGGCGAAACTTCACATTTCAAGCCACACTAAGTAACTTTATGCAGGTGGAAGAACAGATGCATGGATCTATGGAATATTAAGATTAAATTATCCTTTATTAGTCCCACAGTGGGGAAATGTCAGTGTTGCATCACATGTCACAGAACAGTAGGAATGAGGAGCACAAGATAAGTGAACAATAAGTCCATACTGAATTAAATACAAATTCTATCTTTAGCAAGATATGTTGAAATATGTGTTTAATACCAGGGTCTGTAACTAACTACTAGCAGCACAAGTCTTGTGCTATGATTAAAAGTAGAAGAAAAATATCTTAATAGATTAGGGTCTAAATGACTGGTCAAGTTAGGAAAAAACATCTATAATCAGCTTGGAAAAAAAGGATACTTTTGAATCGCTGTGGCGGGTCAAATTTACCCAAGTATAGCACAAGGGTTAAGGAATAATTGTATGAAGATTTTTCATGCAAGCAAATTTCTGGTTTGTGACTTCCTGTTACATACATACAGAAATTATATCGCCATTACAAAGAAGAAGTCAACAAAATGCAATTTGGTTTCTTCCAGAAGAGCAAGAGATATGCGAGACTGCCTTAGGGTCTTATTGGAGACTATTCTATACGTGTTGAGTGGTAGGGGAACCCGGAGCACCCAGAGGAAACCTACCCTCTGATTACACCGCTGTCTGAGATGAACACTGAAGCAACCCTTAAACAAGGTCATGATGTTGCACTTCTGGGTGCTTTTAGAGCCCTGTGTGATATTAATATTTATGGTTTATTTTCTTATGTGATTTGGGCTATATGAAGCAGTTTGTGGAGGAAAACTGCTCGACAAATGAAGGTTGGTTGATTGATTACACACAATGGGCCTCATGTATGAAAATTGGGTAATACATTTTGGGTGGAGATCCCAGATACGCAAGATCTGACGTGGCATTTATGAACGTGTGAGATACGCACAGATCTGAGCGTACGCACCTGCGGCTGTTGATAAATGCCGCGCTCAAAACCAGCGTATTTATGAAAGTCACGCCTAGAAATATTCAGAAACTGCCTGTTCCACGCCCTGTTTTTGCGACAGGTCAGCAGGAAGTCGGCTAAGAAGCCGCAAAAAGCACGCACTTTTGAGTTTATTCACGTTTTTGAAAAATAAATATATGCTATATTATATACACACTTTTTTCCCTAGTGTCTAGACCCACTGCAGCACTCATCTCTCCTGAAATTTAGAAGTAAATAAATAAATAATAAATGACCTGAATGAATGAATGAACTATACTTCTGGTGTGCGTCGCATCCTATCTCTGCTCTACAGGGCAGTGGATGAGACAGTTTTGAGCAAGATCAGGTGCATTTATGGGGCTTTATGCACAAAACTAAGGAAAACCCACATTGCTTTGCCAGAGGTGAATGAGGCAAAACATATGCGTAATTACGTGTACGGCACAGGGTCTGCCAAAGGTTGTTCATATGTAAAAATAAATATACGCCATATACGCTACGCTATTTATTCAGCTGCGTTTTGAACAAATTTGCAGAAATGTTTTGATAGACGTGAATAAATAAAGAATGAATGAATGAATTCATATTGTGCAGCGTGGCTCTCATCAATGAAGCGTCTGCAGCGTCTTGTGAATGCACTGAAGCGCTGTACACTTGCGAGAGCGTTTGCGGTCCAGATTTTACAGAGAAACTCTGGAGCCAAAACTTCTGAATGACAGCATTTGAGGAGTTATGTGGCGTGTCTCTCATGGCACCTGCTGTGGACGCACTCCCAAGAGTGCAGCGGGTGGACAGGGCAGTGAGACATTTTGAGTGAGCAATACCATAGTCCATCGGCCCATGCGTTAATGGGATGTGTGTCTGTGTGAGGCTTACACATATCTAATGAAAACATACATTGCTTTACCAGATGTGAATGAGGAATACAAATAGCCGTGTGTAATTACGCAGCGCAGAGCCTGCCACAGCAATAGCTGGGTCACACATCCCTGTCGCATAAAGTGTATTTATATAGAGCCTTTCACTGTCCAGGATCACAAAGCGCTTTACATTTGAAAAACATACAGATCAAAATAATACACACAGAAGTCAGATTTAAAATCACAGAAACAGCAGAGGCTCCTCATCATGATCTGTGATTTATTCGAAGTTTGCGTGTTTCCAGAGTGTTGGACTTTTTCTGATGCGCAAATTCAAATTCCGAAACATGATGCTCCATGAAAACACAGCTTATAATCTTGTCAGAGTGGGAACATGTTTATTGTTGTACAAATCTTGAATTTCATGCGTGTTTTGGCGTGTTGTGACGAAGGGTGAAATGAGCGTACACATTTACACCACCTATTGACTTGACTAAATTCTGTGTGTACCGTACGCTTACGTCCAGATTGATAAATGCGGAAAAGTGTAAATTTTTTGCGTACGCATAATTTACACCCTGATTTGGCCGTACGCAACTTTCATACCTGAAAGGTATATTTTGGGTGTATATTCCATTTACGCAAGATCCGACGTGGCATTTATGAACGTGTGAGATACGCACAGATCTGAGCGTACGCACCTGCGGCTGTTGATAAATGCCGCGCTCAAAACCAGCGTATTTATGAAAAGTATAGGAAGAAATATTCAGAAACTTCCTGTTCCACGCCCTGTTTTTGCGACAGGTCAGCAGGAAGTCGGCTAAGAAGACTGTTTGGAAGCCTCAAAAAACACACACTTCTGAGATTATTCACGTTTAAAAAAAAAATATATATATACGTTCTATTATATACGCGTTTTTCCCTAGTGTCTAGACCCACTGCAGCACTCATCTCTCCTGAAATTTAGAAGTAAATAAATAAATTATAAATGAATGAATGAACCAGTTCCCACATGCGCGTTGCATCCTATCTCTGCTGCGGAGAACAGGCCAGTGGATGAGCAGTTTTGAGCAAGATCAATTGCGTTTATGGGGCTTTATGCACAAAACTAAGGAAAACCCACATTGCTTTGCCAGAGGTGAATGAGGCAAAACATGTGCGTAATTACGTATACGGCGCAGGGTAATAATAATAATAATACATTTTATTTATAATGCACTTTACATTTGACACCAAATCTCAAAGTGCTACAAACAGCAGCATAAATAAAAGCAAACGCATAAAATCAGATACAAGACTATAAAAAAAATAGCAGTACGCTTTAGTGAAAAGATGGGTTTTGAGTCCCTTTTTAAAAGCTTCCACCGTCTGTGGGGCCCTGAGGTGGTCCGGGAGGGCGTTCCACAGACGGGGACCAGCGGCCTCGAAGGCCCGGTCCCCCATTTTCTTGAGCCGTGTCCTGGGCGGGAGCAGACGGTGCTGTTGGCCTGACCGGGTTCTGCCTGAGGAGTGTGGAGTGAGGAGGTCAGTGAGGTAGGTGGGGGCATCACCGTGGAGACAGTGGTCTAGTTAGTGAGTAAACGGCTAAGGAAAATTAACTTCACGGAGCAGGAGCTTGAGACCATTATGAACGAAGTGGGAAAAAGAATAAAGTCTTACTATTTGGAATTCTCAAAAGTGGCATCAAGGGGCTCAAAAAACAATATATGGAAAGAGATGACAGCATCTGTAAACAGCGTGGGGCCTGCAACACGCACTCCTGAAGAGATGAGTTTATTCATGTTTGAAGAAAAATACACTTGAAACAGTTGATATATTGGGCCAATAGTAAGAATTCATTAATTTATGCTACAAGTGAAAAAAAAGGGAGTGACTTTAAAATGTAACAAAAAGGCGTTTAGCGCAGCCCATAAAAGAAGTGCTCAGCAGGCCAGGGGGAGGACCGTCAGACCAAAGCATCCAAAAGAAAATATAAAGAAAAAAAAATAACTTCAAATGATGTATGAAGTTATTCATACATCATTTGCCAAAGTTAGAAATATAGTGTCCAGGGCAGACTTGGAGATTCTTGTCCATGCATTTGTCTCCAGCAGGCTAGACTACTGCAATGGCCTGCTTACAGGTCTGTCCAAACAGACCTGTAAGCAGCTGCAGTACATCCAAAATGCAGCAGCTAGAGTCCTGACAGGAACCAGGAAGTATGACCATATTAGTCCGGTCCTCAGGTCTCTGCACTGGCTTCCTGTGGCTCAAAGAATAGATTTTAAAACGGCTCTGCTTGTGTACAAGTCTCTCCATGGCCTTGCACCAGAATACATTAGTGACATGTTGGTGTCATATGAACCAGCCCGGACTCTGAGGAGCACAGGGACTGGCCTCCTGCTGGTGCCCAGAGTGAGAACCAAACATGGGGAGGCTGCGTTTCAGATCCATGCAGCTAAGATCTGGAACAATCTCCCTGAAAATGTGAGGGAGGCGTCTACTCTGTCAATGTTCAAATCCAGGTTAAAGACTGTTCTGTTTGCCTGTGCATACAACTGAAGGATTTTATCTCCATTTTTAATGCACTGCTGTCATTTATTTATTTATTTAAATTTCTTGTGTAATTTTGAAAGTTTTAATGGTTTTATTCTTTTGTGTGATTTTAATGTTTTAATTGTGTTTTAATCTTTTGTGTGATTTTAATGTTTTAATTGTGATTCTGGTGTTTGTTTTATGTGATGATTTGTGATGTGGACTGTGAAGCGCTTTGTGTTGCCATGTGTATGAAAGGCGCTCTACAAATAAACTTTGATTGATTGATTGATATGTGATTATTATTTTAAAATGGTTGAATGAGAGCCTGTCTGAGCTGTAAGATAAGATAAGAATTCCTTTATTCGTCCCACAGTGGGGAAATTTCGATGTTGCATCGCACATATAGGACAGTAGTAAGAGCACACAGGGAGCACACACAATATATACACTATATACAAATAAGTAGTAGCTATGTTTCTTAACTAACATAACTAGTACAGGCCGAAGGCGGTGCTGGCCATGGTCTCTCATCCATGGGCTGCTCCACCAGTGGCACACTGTGGTCCTGTGTCTGTTGTGGAGAACCGAGCCAGGACCATGTGGCACACTTGTACCAGGAGGTACCAGAGCGTACCCCCTACATGTCCCAGAGCCTGATCAGACCCGCGCAGCACTCCACGGTGGCGCGCGTCTTTGCTTGGACCCGGTTGGACCAAATGCCGTTACGCACTGATTGTAGGTGATATAACAATCCACACATTTGTGGGAGACTAAGTTTGACATCTTGCACGTTATTTAATAACACAAACTAGCCCTAACATAACATCGTAAAATTGCATATTTGTAATGTGAGAGGTGTGCCTATAATCTTGTCAGAGTGGGAATATGTTTATTTTTGTCCAAATTTTGCATTTCATGCGTGTTTTGGCGTGCTGTAATGAAGGTTGAAATGAGTGTACACATTTACACCACCTATTGACTTGGTGTAAATTCTGTGCGTATCGTACGCTTACGTCCAGATTGATAAATGCGGAAAAGTGTAAATATTTTGCGTACGCATCATTTACACCCTGATTTGGCCATACGCAAGTTTCATACATGAGGCCCAATTAAACTAACCAACCGGCCCATACAGGTGTGTATCATACAGGTGTGTATCGTACAGGTGTGTATCGTACAGGTGTGTATCGTACAGGTGTGGCCGTTTACTCCGTACACACAGAACACATCAGTACCATGTATAACTCCGCCCTCTGGCCGGGCCTGTGTTCATATCAGTGCGCCGCACGATATACTACGCTACAACATTGTTATGGGAGGTTAAAAAAAGAAAATAAAGTCAGCCTTGATACGGGTTTGAGCCTGAGAATTCTGAAAACCGGCCGGGCAGGGCTGGCACTCAACCCCCTCGGGCTAGGGCCGGGCTCGGACCCAGATAATAGGCCCGTGCAGGGCACTACTCTGAACCCGGTCCCTATTCCCAGTCCCTGTTCACAGACCCGGAACCCGGGTCCTGTTCACAGACCCTGTGGACTGACGAGTCTCTCCTCAGGTCCAGTTCCGTCTGAAGCAGATCGTTCACGCTCAGTCGGAGGAGAAGGAGCGGATGTTGGTTGAGCTGGAGGAGTTCGCCTTCAGGGGCTGCCCTCATGTGGTCGGATGCAGACCTCAGGACGCCTCGCAGCTGCAGAACTCGGTGAGCAGAGCCTTCAGTCCTCCTCTGGTAATACACGTGTCATAACATTTCACTAGTTTATACTCTACATAACTGTCATTAGGGGTGGGAACCTAAGGGTACCATACGATGTGCGATAAAAAGCTCACGATAACAATTATATCACGATATGACGATTATTGATATATTGGTCAGCTATATACCATATGCCAATATATGGCATACATAAAATAGAAAAATGTTAAGTGAAAAAATACACTTTCATGATAAATGGAATGGAGATGTGTAATGTAGCCATATATTAAGTTTATTATTATTTTTTCATACTGTAAACAGCCAAACCAGGACTAAACCAGGACTAAACCAGGACTAAACCAGGACTAAACCAGGACTAAACCAGGACTAAACCAGGACTAAACCAGGACTAAACCAGGACTAAACCAGGACTAACATGGTGCTTGTTAACATATGTGTTGTCATGCTCCCGTGACTTTATGCAACTGCTTCGAGTGTGTTCGCCGATGCGGAAGTACCGTTCAATAATAAAATAAACTTATAAAGTCACCTCCGTGAACACATACTGCTGTTATATAAAGTCACCTCCGTGAACACATACTGCTGTTATATAAAGTCACCTCCGTGAACACACACTGCTGTTATATAAAGTCACCTCCGTGAACACATACTGCTGTTATATAAAGTCACCTCCGTGAACACATACTGCTGTTATATAAAGTCACCTGCGTGAACACATACTGCTGTTATATAAAGTCACCTGCGTGAACACATACTGCTGTTATATAAAGTCACCTCCGTGAACACATACTGCTGTTATATAAAGTCACCTCCGTGAACACATACTGCTGTCATATAAAGTCACCGTGAACACATACTGCTGTTATATAAAGTCACCGTGAACACATACTGCTGTTATATAAAGTCACCTCCGTGAACACATACTGCTGTTATATAAAGTCACCTCCGTGAACACATACTGCTGTTATATAAAGTCACCTCCGTGAACACATACTGCTGTTATATAAAGTCACCTCCGTGAACACATACTGCTGTTATATAAAGTCACCGTGAACACATACTGCTGTTATATAAAGTCACTGTGAACACATACTGCTGTTATATAAAGTCACCTCTGTGAACACATACTGCTGTTATATAAAGTCACCTCCGTGAACACATACTGCTGTTATATAAAGTCACCTCCGTGAACACATACTGCTGTTATATAAAGTCACTGTGAACACATACTGCTGTTATATAAAGTCACCTCCGTGAACACATACTGCTGTTATATAAAGTCACCTCCGTGAACACATACTGCTGTTATATAAAGTCACCTCTGTGAACACATACTGCTGTTATATAAAGTCACCTCCGTGAACACATACTGCTGTTATATAAAGTCACCGTGAACACATACTACTGTTATATAAAGTCACCTCCGTGAACACATACTGCTGTTATATAAAGTCCGTGGAAGCCGGCCGGCTACTTCCGCCACTTCCGGCGCTGGCCAGGACGTTCTGGTGTGAAGTCCCCTGCGTCTGAAAACTAGAGAATGTGCGTCTGGTGAGCGAGGCTTCAGCGTTCCAGCGTTGGCGGTCTGAACACAGCTTTAGTCCTCAACTAAACAAGATAGAACCAGCATCTCAATGAATCACTGTACATTAAGTAAGGGATAACGTATATTACGCAGGTCATTATCGGAAAATAAGTACCGACAGGGCGAAGCGGACCCCTACGCGCATATACGTTATCCCGCTTATTATACGGCTTTATACCAACAGCACAACATAAACTTCAGTCCACTTTTAGGAATGCCGAAAGGTTTATTTAATGACAGAAAATAAAATAGTTCCCAAAGGCTTTCCCGTGGCTATGCTAGCACCAGTTAGGCTATCAACTTCCAAACTATAACTCCCTGGAACTGCATGAAAACTGAACAAAGAATTGTGACGGTTAGGGTTAGGGTTAGCAGTGAGTGACCCAAACATAAACTTAACCTAAATCCATAATTCGATCCTCTGCAAATGTTCCTAAAATGTGCCGGTATCTTAAAATGTGCCGGTATCTACTTTGGGGTTTTTCGGGATCGCCTTTTCTCGCATTACATCAGTGTTTTTGTCATGAAAACGTAAACGGAAAATTCTGAAAACTTCCGTGCACTTGTATTAAGACTGTATATGTATAATGTATTCTCCGATTAACATGTCATTGCGTTGATTGATTGGCATTTGCGTTTATTGAGCGTGGCTAGCTCCGGAGTGGCCGGAACTACTTGCGGAGTTATCCATCTGAAAGACAAGCAGAGAGTGCGTTGCCAAAGGGCAGCGGTCATTATTGTTTTGAGTCCGTTATAAAAAATATTGACCGGTAGAACGTTTTGAAATTACATTCAAATCAATGGAGCATTCTACTGCTGCTGTGAGGAGCCGTGTAATAAACATAGAGACATGACAACTGGTCTAATCTAACTATCATTAACCCATAACGAAATTTCCCCACTGTGGGACGAATAAAGGAACTCTTATCTTATCTTATTGGAAAGAACTAATAATAAAAAAAAAAAACTATAATAATCATAATGCATCAGTTTTATACAGCGCTTTTCAGGACACACAAAGACCTTTCTATCATTATTCTTTCACTCCATACACGGTGGTGATGAACTACTACTGTAGCCACAGCTGCCCTGGGCACACTGACAGAAGAGAGGCAACCAGTATGCGCCATCGGCCCCTCCCACCACCACCAACCATTCACACACACACCAGACTCAATACTATTCTATACTATGATGATGTACCATCTAGGGCTGGGCGATTATGGCTGAAAACTATATCACAATATAAGTAATTCATATCGGTCGATAACAACATATATTGATTATTTTTAATTAATTTTTAAAAACCTAAATAAATACATTTGTCGTGTCGGCTAACACATGTTAGCAGCCTTGTTTACAGTCACGGGGGAATGAGGCTGCAGACAAATGTTCACAAGCAGTCTCCCCCATAGTTAGTCCTGGTTTAATTGTGTCCCCGTGACGGCTCTGGAAAAAGTTAATCTCTTGCTTTGGCCGAATGCATCAAGTCTCTGTGTCCACTGCCTCGGACACGGACGTGTTTAACCATGGACACGGCCTGAAACACAATCTTTAGATCCATGGCTATTATAATAGATTCATGATCCATGGACGCTACGCATGATGCGGTTGTTGTTTTTGCCTGCAGAATGTTTAGCGGTTTGGAGTCGGCTGTGATAGGTCGAGAAGGCTTTGCCTACATCCCCCAGAATGCCGCGCGCTTCTGACTCTGCTTTACTTCCTGTGTTTTAACGGAGTGAAGTGAAACTATGAAGTTCTATCAACCCCGTTTTCTATTGATATTGAACACGTGTCTATTGCAATATATATCGTTATCGTTTATCGCCCAGCCCTAGTACCATCCTTAGTCTTTTCTCATTGATACATTTGATGGAAGATAAGTAAAATTTATTTGTATAGCGCCTTTGACAGACCAGGATCACAAAAAGCTTCATTTAAAATAAACCAATGGGACATCTACATTTGGAACGACCAAAAACCACTTCATATTTGTTCTGTCTGCTCCTTCTGTAAACATCACGTCTCAAACTCCCAGCCCTCCCTCCCTTCCTCCTTCCTTCATTCTGTCTTTCCTTCTTTCTCTTGCTGTCTCTCTCTCTCTCTCTGTCCGCTTACGTGGCCTTTGCGACCGTTGCGATTCGTCAGAGCGGCGAGCAGCGTTTTGTCCCATTCAGTTTCTTGGAAACCAGGGGATGACGCACACTCCTTAAAATCTGGAACAGTCTTCCTGAAGATGTGAGACAGGCCTCCTCTCTGACAATGTTTAAAACCAGGTTAAAGACAGTTCTGTTTAACTGTGCTACAACTGAGGGATTTTATATTTTTATCTTTCTTTTTAATGTTCTGTGATAATTTATGATTTTAATGCTTTCTTGTTTTGTTCAGCACTTTGAATTGCCTTGTGTATGAATTGTGCTATACAAATAAACTTGCCTTGCCTAGTCTGAGCAGTGGACTGGAGGGAACATGCCTCCAGCTCTGTCAGTAATGATCACAGGCGCCTGTGAAAGGTCGTGATGGGCATCGTTTATTATTATTATTATTATTATTATTATCTAAGGACAATAAAAATGAAGACAAATAAAGAACATAAATATAAGCATGACAATATAAACACAAGGACAATCAAGGGTCAAAGGAGAAAAAAAACCAAAAAACTAAAAAATGGGGTTCTGTCATAATAATAACGTTTTTTAAATAGTTATTTGTACATTAACTGTAAAATGCAAATGTTTTTTTCTGTGGTTTCATGCTTTCCCTACAGGAGGATCTGGTGAGTACAGCATTGCATTTTATTAATATGTTAATTTCAATGATAAAAAAAACCCCATAGAAGCCAAATGTCCCGGATCATCACTGTCCCATGGACAGATGGGCTGTAGACCCAGGACTGAGGCCGTAGACCCAGGACTGAGGCCGTAGACCCAGGACTGAGGCCGTAGACCCAGGACTGAGGCCGTAGACCCAGGACTGAGGCCGTAGACCCAGGACTGAGGCCGTAGACCCAGGACTGAGGCCGTAGACCCAGGACTGAGGCCGTAGACCCAGGACTGAGGCCGTAGACCCAGGACTGAGGCCGTAGACCCAGGACTGAGGCCGTAGACCCAGGACTGAGGCCGTAGACCCAGGACTGAGGCCGTAGACCCAGGACTGAGGCCGTAGACCCAGGACTGAGGCCGTAGACCCAGGACTGAGGCCGTAGACCCAGGACTGAGGCCGTAGACCCAGGACTGAGGCCGTAGACCCAGGACTGAGGCCGTAGACCCAGGACTGAGGCCGTAGACCCAGGACTGAGGCCGTAGACCCAGGACTGAGGCCGTAGACCCAGGACTGAGGCCGTAGACCCAGGACTGAGGCCGTAGACCCAGGACTGAGGCCGTAGACCCAGGACTGAGGCCGTAGACCCAGGACTGAGGCCGTAGACCCAGGACTGAGGCCGTAGACCCAGGACTGAGGCCGTAGACCCAGGACTGAGGCCGTAGACCCAGGACTGAGGCCGTAGACCCAGGACTGAGGCCGTAGACCCAGGACTGAGGCCGTAGACCCAGGACTGAGGCCGTAGACCCAGGACTGAGGCCGTAGACCCAGGACTGAGGCCGTAGACCCAGGACTGAGGCCGTAGACTCAGGACTGAGGCCGTAGACTCAGGACTGAGCCTGTTCGGTGCCAATAAAATAGTCCGGATTCATTTAAGTTGTTTTAAATGGCACAATACATTACTCCACCATTTGAAATCAATGTACCATGTTTTAGCATAAATTATGACTATTAAGTTGTATGGGGTTGTCGGGTCCATGTCTATTCTGAGGGTCCCAGCCTGAAAAGGAATCATCACATAAACAGCATGTACTCGTATATCTCGGAATGATGTGAAAACTTACCTAACCCTAACTTAACCGAGCCAGAACATGAAACGGAATGCGTCTTTATGGTGTGTTTTGTGTTTTCTCAGACGGAGCGAGAGAAGAGAGAGCAGCTGGAGGCTCAGAGGGAGAAGCAGAAGGACCTGATCGTTCAGCTGAAGACCCAGCTGGACGACCTGGAGCGGTTCGCCTATCAAGAGGGCAGCTACGACTCGGTGCCTCAGGCGGTGGTCATGGAGAGGCAGAGGGTGAGAGACACACGTCACTCTCATTAAACTGTCAGGCTGTAGGGCGTTATGTAAGCCGTTAATTCTCCTCTTTTGGTCTCTTTTGTTTTGTGGCTGAAATGGTAGTTTTAAAATTTGATTTGATTTCTACCAAAAAGTAAAATGGGTGAGTGGATTCTGAGTGTTTTTGTGGTTAGTTTAATCATCATTAGATGTTCAGACACAACCTTTTATACTGTAGACAAACAAGTTGTCGATTACAATTACAAAATACATGACTTAGCTGTATTAAAATGGGGAACCTTTGCAGAATGTCTTTTTCTTGTATGATTTTGTTGTAAAAATCTACTACTACTATTATTATACTACTACTATTATAGTAATCGACTACAAGTGTACTACTCTACTACTATATATATAATTAACTAGCTTTGTACTCTGAGAAAAATTGTTCTGTCACATCTTATAGATGCAGCAGCTCGAGTCTTGACTAGAACCAGGAAGTACGACCACATTAGTCCTGACTAGAACCAGGAAGTACGACCACATTAGTCCTGACTAGAACCAGGAAGTACGACCACATTAGTCCTGACTAGAACCAGGAAGTACGACCACATTAGTCCTGACTAGAACCAGGAAGTACGACCACATTAGTCCAGTTCTCAGGTCTCTGCACTGGCTTCCTGTGGCTCAGAGAATAGACTTTAAAACAGCTCTGCTTGTTACAAGTCTCTCCATGGCCTCACACCAAAATATATTAGTGACATGTTAGTCCCATATGAACCAGCCCGGACTCTGAGGAGCACAGGGACTGGACTCCTGCTGGGACTCTGAGGAGCACAGGGACTGGACTCCTGCTGGGACTCTGAGGAGCACAGGGACTGGACTCCTGCTGGGACTCTGAGGAGCACAGGGACTGGCCTCCTGCTGGGACTCTGAGGAGCACAGGGACTGGACTCCTGCTGGGACTCTGAGGAGCACAGGGACTGGACTCCTGCTGGGACTCTGAGGAGCACAGGGACTGGACTCCTGCTGGGACTCTGAGGAGCACAGGGACTGGACTCCTGCTGGGACTCTGAGGAGCACAGGGACTGGACTCCTGCTGGGACTCTGAGGAGCACAGGGACTGGACTCCTGCTGGGACTCTGAGGAGCACAGGGACTGGACTCCTGTTAGTGCCCAGAGTCAGAACTAAACATGGGGAGGCTGCTTTTCAGATTCATGCTGCTAAAATCTGGAACAGTCTTCCTGAAGATGTGAGACAGGCCTCCTCTCTGACAATGTTTAAAACCAGGTTAAAGATAGTTCTGTTTAACTGTGCTACAACTGAGGGATTTTATATTTTTATCTTTCTTTTTAATATTCTGTGATTATTTATGATTTTAATTCCTTCTTGTTTTTTTCAGCACTTTGAGTTGCCTTGTGTATGAATTGTGCTATACAAATAAACTTGCCTTGCCTAGATTATTTTTATCAGACAGAAAATTGTCAACGGGGACCAGCCTCACTCCGCTAATCTCTCAATACATAGAGGATAGTGACTGACGGGGGTCTTGGGTACATTTCAAGTAAGACTATCTTTCTGTTGAGACAAACGACACATATTATCAAAGAAAAAAGATGAAATACCCCAGCTTTATTATTGGCCTTTGAAATACAGCGTACATGTTTTGGCCCACAACAGCAGTACAAAAATGCGAAATCAGTAAATGTCTGTTTTTGTTCCAGGTGATCATCGACGAGCTGATAAAGAAGCTGGATGTGAATCTGAACGACGATATTGGGAAGCTAAGTCCGGAGGAGCTGAGGCACCGCGTGGACGCCGCCATCGCTCAGATTGTGAACCCGGCCAGAGTCAAAGAGCAGCTGGTGGAGCAGCTCAAGACCCAGATCCGAGACCTTGAGATGTTCATCAACTTCATACAAGGTGCAGTCATGTGGAACTAGTTTGGCTCCAGTCAGCGATAGACAAGTGTCACAAGTGGCTCTAGGTTCGTGGATAAATGAGGGACAGATATGGGGCATTTCACATTTTTATATATATATAGACAATGATAATAATAGTATTCAAAATATAAGGATCAAGAATGAGCTGTGAGTATGTAAACAATGGAATGTAAGTCAGTGAATGAAAAGTGAGTGCAAAACCAAAGCTAATCTAATATGAAAATAACAAAGAAATAAGGATCCAGTAGGTGAACGGAGCAGAGAGAGAGATGTGTTAGTACAGACATATTTAAGCACAGGTGTGCCCAATCACTGGGTACTCCCTCTGTCAGGCAGGGAGGGGCACCTCCCTCCTTTAAATGGCTCTGGTTTCCCCTACCACTAAAAATATGTACAGGTCTGCCTCCTGCAGGCCCCCATCTCCGTGTGGAGTGAGAGGACCCATGTTCTTGGGCACAACATTTGGTTGTTGTTTTCCGCTTCATACAATACAATACAATACCATTTATTCTTGTATAGCCCTAGGTCACAACAGAAGTCATCTCAGAGACAAAACCATTGAAATCACCAACACAGGTCAGAGAATCAACAGTTAAAACACATGAAGAATATAAAGCACACACAGAAGAAAATGTCCATACATGTTGTAGAATGCTAAAGTGTCCTGATCATCACCAATCCTTTCTGTTGGACACTAACTGTCCAACAAGACCCTCCTGCATCGACAAGGAACAACTCTTAAAAAACCCAGTGGGAAAAAGTGAGAAACCTTGGAGGAGAACTAGGGAAACCCACAGGGAGGGAGACCCATATGAGAAAGGGATCCGCTCCTCCGGACGGACAGGCTAATGATCCAGGACCTAAGCTAGCTACAGGACGTGGACCAGTGGCCGCTGAACGTGGACCAGTGGACGCTGAACGTGGACAGGTCCGGTGCAGGACTGAAGCACTCCCAGGCGGGTCGGGTGGGGCAGTCCGCAGGTGTAGATGGAGGAGGCCAGGCTCAGAGGTCCCGTCATTGTACCATGAAACAGACAATGGGACAACGGGTGAATAGGAATGAACAAACTACAGTCAGAATCCTAATAATGCTAAACAGATAAAGTAGGAAGGAGGAGAGGATAGTGCAGTTACCATACTTCTCCAGCAGGGGGTGCCCTATGCAGCTTGACTGACAGTCTGATGAGTTTAGGCTTCCCTGAGTCTTACCTTCCTAGCCATATGCTAAACTAAAGAGGACTGTTTTAAACCTAGCCTTGAATAAAGAGAGCGTATCTGAAAGGAGGCGAGACAGCAGCAGCCACGGCTAGGCTAGGCTAGGCTAGCCCAGGCTACAGCACCAAGACTCATGGATTACACACCAGGTGTGCAAACCGATCCAGGCAAAGAGCCTAATTATATGCTAAATTAAAGTAAAGTGCTTTAAGCCTGGCCTTGAATGTGGAGACCGTATCTGCTTCCTTAACATAAATGAAGCTGATTCCACAGTAAAGGAGCTTGGAGCTAAATGCTCTGCCGCCAACAGTGACCTTTGAGACCTTAGGGACCACCAGACGTCTGGCGTTTTGTGAGCGCAACGCTCGACTTGGTTGATACGACACTAACGTGTCTTGGAGATAAGAAGGAGCCAAGCCATTTATGGCTTTGTATGTTAAGAGAAGGATTTTAAACTTTATTCTGTACTCCACAGGAGCCAGTGGAGTGATTTTAACACCGGAGTTATGTGCTCCCTCCTTTTGGTACCTGTTAAGATCCTAGCTGCTGTATTCTGAACGAGCTGGAAGCTCTTCAAAGAGGTTTTAGGGCACGCTGCCAGTAAAGGGTTAGTGTTAGGGTTAGGAGAGTTCTTTGTCGAAAATGACTCCCAAGATTCCTCAGTGTTGCTGGGTATAATACTGACATTATCGAGAGTGATTATCTGGTCAGTAAGGGAAAATCTACGCTAACTGCTCCTGTTACATTATGATATGAATGTTTATTTATTTCCAGTTCAATATACATCAAACATTATCATCAACATTTCATTCATTAACAATTTTAAAAGGTTTCTGCCTTGTAGAGCAAAAGCTGCGTGCAATTTCTGATGTTGACTATAAAAACTACAATAATGAAATGGCCCCAGCTGGTGGTAGAAGCGGGACATTACATTCTGACTGATCTGTGTGTTTCTCTCCCAAGATGAGGTCGGGAACCCTCTTCTGTCCGGAGGAGCTCAGTGCCAGCAGCCTGAAAGGGCCACCAGCAGAGGTGCAGGCGTCAAGAAAGGCAAGTGTGACATCATCTGGACAAAAGCCATTTATTTTGTACGTAATTGTGTGGACTAAATGCTGTTTTCCTTCTCATTGCACCTTTTTCTTTGGTTTAAAACTACCTTCTGAAATAAAACTAACATGTGTTCTCTCTGCAGTGGACCCGGAGCAGGCGCAGAAGCTCAGAGAAACCGGACTTCAGCTCATCCAGCGTGCTCTGGCCGTGCTCCAGATATTCGCCGCCAGTCAGTTCGGCTGCGGCGTCAGCCACGTCCCCCAAAACATGTGGTCACCGGACGCCATGGGACAAGACTACGGCCCCCTCCTTCAGCGCCTTGAATCGACCGTGGACAAAGTAAGAATTCTCGGCTCCAGGAGACAGCCCTCATTCGAACACGTGGTAAACTACACCAGCGACGCAGCTTTGGGGCCGCGAGACGAGCTAACGGCGGCGGTGCGCAAAGATCTAGCCATTGCGTTAAAAGACCTGTTGGCGCACGGTTTGTGTTCGCCATCGCAAACGGTAAGTCTGGTTCTCGCGCCCATTTCCTGCCTGCTTCCTTACCGGACGACATCGCGAGACATCCACCCCTGGGAGCTTTTTGTCAAGTATTACCACTCCAAAAACGGGAAAGCTTTCGTGGAATCGCCCGCCAGACAGCTATCGCAATCCTTCAGCTTGCCAGTAGGGGGCGGACCAGTGACAGTGACCCCAAAACAGTCTCTCCTATGGGCGATTCATACGGTCTTGAATGAACACAATAGGTTCAAAAGAGGCCCGGACCCGGAGTTCAAAGCACTGGTGTGTATGGCGTTGAATGAGCAGAGACTGGTGTCGTGGTTGAATTTGCTCTGTAAGTCTGGGACCCTGATTCACCCGCATTATCAGTCGTGGAGCTACATGGCCCAGACCGGGTTTGAGGGCGCGCTACGCATCTTGGGACGCATCAGCCACCTCAAATTCAACCTCCCTGTGGACCTGGCCGTGCGGCAACTCAAGAATATCAAGGATGCATTTTGATTTAAATGTTTGCATTGTTGAAGCAGAGTCTGAAGCTGAAAAGACCTCTACCTGACTCTCACTGTGTTTTAAAATGGTCAAATCAGGCTAAGCTAATGCTAACCTATTCCTCACATCCTAGTGATTCACTTGATGAGTTCCTAGAAGGGTTATTTCACAACTTTAAGAAACCAGCTGAAGTTGGAGCCTTATTGTAAAGCTAGCAAGAGTTGGCCAAAACAGCAAGAGTTCACAGAACAAGCAAGTAATCTTTATTTAAATTGTGAAATTCACATACAAAACATTTTTTACAATATTAAAATTTCAAAGCTGATATTCTGACAACGATTTTGGAGTGTGTTTTGAGTCCCATCTCAACGTCTTTGCGTGAATTATCCACGTTAGTGAGAGTGTCATGTTAGCAAGAGCTGGCCAAAGTTAGCGTTGCACTTTCCCGTTACTCTTACATATATTACTTATTCAAAAAGGCAGTAAATGAGCTAAGCATCAAAACCTATTATTTCAATATATCATCCCTGGGTCAACTTATTTTGCGTAAGTTCATGAAACAATATGGCTACATGCTCTTTTCTTTTCAATATTAACACATATAAGCCAGAGCTCGAGGTTTACCATGCCTATATTGGTAGAGCTGAAGTTGGCTGAATGACACTGAACTTGTGGGTTTTGATCTCAATGGTGCTTTGGGTTAGCAAGCCAAAGGGACCTGGGAAGTTTCAGTGTTGCAAAACAAGGTAGAGAATAGGAATGAGGAGCACACAACACAAGATGGGTGCATATTAAGTAGAGGACAACTCAACACTAAAATCTCTATTTAAACAAACTATTAAAAGTATGAGGTATAAACCGGTAGACTCTAGTCAAAGGGTCTTCAACATTATTAAACTGGAGAGCTACTTTTGCCCGACAGAATCGGCAGAGAGATACTTTTTTGCAGTTATATTAAACCTGTAGTCTACGTAATAACCGCGGAAAATTGTGGACATTTTATGCAGTAAAATGTACAGTAAATGTACAGTATTACTGTATAACCCTACTCTAGAAAACATGATAGTTAAAGTTAAATTAAATACTACTACTACTTCGACTCAAAATGTGATCATTCAGGATCATGTGTAAGTAAGTAAGTTAGTAAGTTTTTATTTATATACCGCCTTTTCACTGCAGATCTGAGTCTCAAAGCGGTTTACAATTGTTAATTTTTTTGGGCATTTGTCTCTCACTCCACACAGAGATGGGAGCGGGGTCGCCAGTACAGGAGGCACATGCCAGACCTATTGGACATATTTTTAGTGGTAGGGGAAACCGGAGTACCCGGAGGAAACCTACGCAGACACGGGGAGAACATGCAAACTCCACTCAGAAAGGCCCTGGTCCGACCGGGATTCGAACCCAGGACCTTCTTGCTGAGAGGCGAGAGTGCTATCAACTCAGCCACCGTGCCGCCGTGTGTCAAATTCCTGAAATCTTTGGGGAGCTACCTGAAAAAGGTTGGCGAGCTACTGGTATTTACCAAGCCACAAGTTGGAGATCCATCCGTACATTCTGCTCAATCATCATTTCCTGCATGTAACTTCTGGGTCTGGTCCCTGTGTCTGCGATTACAATCGGTTGAATTCCATCTGACCAATCAGTGAGCGCGGGAGGCGGGTGTTGTAGTCAGATGTGGGTGACGTCAGAGTTTGCGTCAAACGGGAAGGTTGTAGTTTGGCGAAGAGTGCTATATTAAAGTAATCCAGTCTGGTTCTGTCAAGAAACTGAAGCCGCGGGCTCCGTTAGCAGCAAAGGAGATGGCTAAAGCTAGGCTAAATGCTAACGACTCACTCGGGCTCATTACATACGTCACAGTAAACTCAGATCCAATGGTTTCAATCTGCAAAAGGAGTTAACGCCTCCCACCTGTTAACAGAGTCAATGGAGCAAATCCAGACCTTTTAATACAAATGAAATGAGTACAATGGTGTGGTATGACCAGGCTAGGTCTAGGGCAATAAGGAGGAAAAATAATCTTGTTTTATTGCTCTAATTCTCGTTCTTTTAAACCTGCTTAGCACTTTCTTGTAAACTTTCTGGATTTGTTGTGGCATAAATCTGCATGGTACCATGAGTCTATTTTTTGCAACACTGAACAGAAATTGGGGCCTGGAAATAACTGACCCAGAGAACGTGGTCCCCTTTAAAATCTGGTCTCTGTGACTAAAAACCGTCAAATTCCGTCTGTACAACAACATGGTTAAAAGCATCTAACGAAAAACTCCCACATTTTAAAGCTATGGCTAAGAACATGCATTCAAAGTGGCATTTTACTGATTGTGTATAACGTACTTTTTGGTGTTTTGGAGAGAGATTAACTGTAAAACTGCTGGAGAAAAGTGTAATATTTGCTGAGTGCGCAGGTTTTTTAAATGCCCTTTATCTTACGCTGCATGAGTGTAAGTGCATGTGTGAAATATTTTTGATATGCCTTAGTGTGGGGTAACTGCGGCTCACTTCTGTGTCACCTTCAATTATTTAAAACACTTTTTATGTATTTGAGTCAAATCAGATAAATTAATCTATGTCAGACTGTATACGGTATACGATAGACTGTATACGGTGAGTCCGGTACTTCCTTCTACACACGACACACTTCGATGCAAGCAGGACCTGAGCAGCTGCAGAAAAGATGATTTGTGTATTTTTGTGGGTTTGGGGGGAAAACTGGAGCCCACGGAGGAAACCCCCACACCACTGTCACTGTCATGTTTAATTTAGGCACTGGAAAGAAAACAAAAGCCTCATTTACACCAGCCCCTCTCTATGCTACTCTGCTCTGGCCCAGTTACCAGGCAGTACCAAGTTCTTCTTAAGTTCCTGTTTGGTCCTGGTTCTATCCAGGCTGAGCTGGTACTAAAGTGTTCTAACTGACAGTGATTGGCCAGATGCTGCTGGGAGCCATGGTTACCAACAAAGTTCCCTGGATACTGGTTTGTTTTGGATGGTTTGCCTTGGATACGGTATGAGCGTAATGGAAACACAATCAGGTAAAGAAGAGCCGAGCAGAGTGGGGCCAAGTGGGGCTGGTGGAAATGAGGCCAAACAGTCCAGAACTAGTAAACCAGGTATCGGACTATTAGTACTGCTATTATGCATAAATGACCATAATATATAATTGCTAGACTAAAACATACAAACTTATAGCAATGCATGTACTTTGGTTCAATACAGTTCCTCATCAACAACCGTTTAATCAAATCGCTCTAAACAGACAAACCATCATGATATGTCTTTGCTGAGCTGGTATCTTCTCTCGCCAAACAACTTCTCACACATAGAGGACCACGTGTGAAAACCTCTTTACGGTCCTCTTGAACGCTCCATACTTTATTCTTAGCTGCTGCGGCTTTCACATGCTACGCTAACATGTATAGCATCTGTGAGCACGAGGGAAAAAAGCTACTGCCCACGATTTAGCTTCTGTCGGTGAGAAATACCAGCTCATATGTTTGTTTTGTTATTGTTTCTGTGTTGAGAAGTTTGATGTCTGAATGTTTAAACTGAAGTGCTATTGGGTTATCCTCTTGTGTACGGAGTTTCAACTACTTTCACTTTTCTGTCAGATTTTTATGCAGTTAATTTGTAGCTCACTGGGGATTTTTCCAAGGGTCAGATTTAAATGGCCAGATATTGCAACCATCTTTTCAGTTTGTTGTTAATAAATGTGTATTATTTGCAATTCATCATGACAGTGGTTCTTTCTTCCTTTTTTTTAAAGACGTAGATTTGCTCCAGTGTTTCCAGTGTCTTACCTGCAACACACACACACACACACACACACACACACACACACACACAGAGACACACACACACATCATAAAAAAATTACATTTCTCCAGTGTGACAACAGTCTTAGACGTAGATCTACAGATGTACTGTCGTTCTACTTCTATTCAACTTCTATTTTACTGTCAAGTTCACCACTGTACTATAACTGTTTTTTTAATTTTCATTACTTTGTCCATCATTTTGCTCTTTCTTTTGAAAAAATCAACTTATAATATGAAAGTGTCCACTAGAGGGCACACATGGATACATATAACTAAATACCAGTTATATGTATTTTATATTAGAAAGACCTCAACAAAGAAAAATAAAAGCAAATTGATGAATGGTTTTATTTTATTTAATACAATATGATGTGGAAGTGAGCAGTACTGTATCGAACCCATTTTTACCACGATCAATAAACTGCAATCATCGAGCATTCATTTTTTAACCTTACCTTGAGATGTAGGACTAATAACACCAATTATTATTATTCTAAACCCCTCGTTTCTTTATCATAGGCATTTACCAAATGTTTGAGATGCAGTTTGATGGTGGAGATGCCAGAGATGCCACAAAGACATTTCAGATCCAAGATTCAAGTCGATAGACTTAAAAACGTGATCTACCAAATGGTTGAAGAAACCATGATAAGGTTTTAATGAACGGATCTAAACAACTAATTCACTATCAAATGTATTGCTAATTCCAACGCAAACTCAAAATCAAGTCCTTTAGCTATCAAAACAATCTCCTGTGTCATCAGTAAGGCCTACATGTGAATAAGTACCAGCTTCACATTGCGTAATCCCAAAACCAAAGACACTTCAAACGATTCTGTCATTTCAGACCTTTTGTCACATGTGAAGCAGATGTTGAAACCTCAGACTCAACAGATCAGAGTGTCCTGGGCCGAGACACAGGAGTGGAAACACCGCACAAAGGCCGTCTCTGTCTGAGTCATCCCAACATGACCTGCTGCTGCTGCGTCAGGACCGCTGTGGACCGGACCAGACTCTGGATCAGACTCTGGCATTATGTGAGACCTTATGTGTTGGTCTCACATAATGCTGTTGTTCAGGTGTGATGGTTTTGAGGCCAAAGCAAAGACTGGGAGCAGCGTGAGAAAGACCTCATTCATTAGAGCTGGAAAAGCTTTGGTTAAACTGAGCGTATTTAAGACGTGTAAATAACAATAGTATGAATGGCTTTATACATTCATTTCTGCCTTAAAAAAGAAGTATTAAAAGTTCAGACAGAAGACTGAGACTTTCAAAAGCTGCAAAAATGTTTAAAAGCCTTTATTACACATGGCAAAACCTCTTTCGTCATGTGTAATAAAACTCAATGGTGCAGCGATAAAAGTGACGCAGAATCTTAGTTTGTGTAAATTCTCTAAGTTTTCGCAGAAAGTAGAGACGCTGACGAGCTTTCTTAACGACCTTCACATGTTTTGGATGCGTTCAGCTGGAGGCTGTAACCTGGGACAGTTAACCTGGGACAGGTCAGTTAACCTGGCCCAGGAAAGTTAACCTGGGACAGGACAGTTAACCTGGGACAGGACAGTTAACCTGGGACAGGAAAGTTAACCTGGGACAGCACAGTTAACTTGGGACAGCACAGTTAACCTGGGACAGCACAGTTTACCTGGGACAGCATAGTTTACCTTGTGTGTCAGAAGGTAGCACACATGTGCACTGGTATAACACTGAAAAGTCCCATACACTAGCACCAGAGGATTGCTGTGTTTCTTTTCCAAATGTAAGCATTACCAGCTGCAAACACAGCCATGTGATTGTTAAAAACGTAATTTCACTTGAGAAATAACCTAAACTATGTCATAGTGAGACAGGAGGGGCGGAGTTAGATGTTTGTGATATCAGCCTGGGAATACCCATGTTGCTCTGCACTCAAATCATTTCCTTTTTTTCGCATGGATTTGGGAACCAATCACAAAACGAGGAGAGACGGCAAGATGATGTTGATCTTTAGTCCGGTGTTGAAGGCTAGATTTTCACTTCCTGCAGGAGGTACGTCCACGGGAAAATGGCTGCTCCGTCAACGAAGAGGCAGCCTTGGTGTTTCAGCGGGGGCTTCAGGCAAAGCGGGATTACGTGTCTTGCCCAAGGACACAACAACAGCAGACATCAGTGAGAGTAGATGACATGGGTCTTGGGAGGATCGAACCCACAAACATCAATTTTACTTTAATATTACTTTTCAATTCAATTAAGTTATTTATTTACGGAACATTCTTAAAATTTCATACCCTTTTCTACGTCCTGTGATCTGTAGGTGCTTTGTAAAACCTTCCAGGAAGCTGCATTAGCGTTTATACGTAATGCCCCAAAACATTTTAATGAGAAAGCCATGTTGTAACATGATTAAAAGCTCAATAAAGTTGGTTTTGCAGATGTTTCCTTTTGTATGCTCAAACCAACTGCACAATATGCAAACGCTGCAGACAACGCACTCCCAAAATATACAGGTTAAACCGTCCCGTAGTAAGACCGATCTGAGCCTCAGCTGGAGATGGCTGGATGACATTAGACATTTAACTACACTTTCATGACCTCAGGCTTCACACATCCCTATGGTCTATTATGAGCCACAAAACGGTCTCAAACTTGGCTCGAGGTGGGTGTTTGACGCCCCTCAGATCATGCGTTTCCTTCATGCTTTATTTTTGGGTGAAAACTGCAAAGTCAGCAGTTTGAGGAACGGGAACAGGGTGTGCTGCTGTCACGGTTTGGAGTTTACTGAGCGCGGCACAAATGTTGAATCCAGCGTTTGGGAGCAAAGCTGCAGCAGGACCGTAAAGAGTCCGGGACCGTAAAGAGTCCGGGACCGTAAAGTGTCCGGGACCGTAAAGTGTCCGGGACCGTAAAGTGTCCGGGACCGTAAAGTGTCCGGGACCGTAAAGTGTCCGGGACCGTAAAGTGTCCGGGACCGTAAAGTGTCCGGGACCGTAAAGTGTCCGGCTGTGAGGCCTAAAAGCTCAAACTCATCTAAGGCTAAATTATTTTGTCCCGTTGGAGAATCTTGTTTGAGCGCAGTCAGAATGTGTCAGATTAAAATAAAAACCACTTGATTCAATCCATTGTCATCATTTTTTGCAGTGTGTTTTGTTCAATGTCTTGTATCTTGTTTTGTGTCTGAACTGTGCAATACAAATAACCTGGCCTAGTTTGAACTACACTTCTCTCCTCTGGTCCACATAAGGTCAGCACATAACGGTTGTATACATTTGTACAGTTGCTATAAACAGAACCACGGCCCATACGCAGCTCCAGTCTAAATGCACCTGGGCCTGGGACAATGCTCTTTAGGTAAATCTGGAGCTGGATGGATGATTCTGGAGGTGATTTGGGGTCAGCTCCTCGTGACCAACTTTGTTATTGTCTAGAGAACGACACACGGTGGTCCACTCGAGGACAAGACCTGGAGACAGACCATGGAGACTCCCGTAAGCACTGGCTGTGGTCCTGAGCGTCACATGTTTGCATTAATGTAGACATAAACGTGGAGCAGAGGACCTCCCACACCATAGGAGCGCCTCCACTCAGCAAAACCACTGATTCAAGCCAAATACCAGAGGCCAAACATGGGAACTGTGTAGTCGCTCCGATATTGTGTCCATTAAACGTGTGGAAAGTCGAGAAAATACAGATAAATAGTAAGTAAGTAAGTTTTTATTTATATACCGCCTTTTCACTGCAGATCTGAGTCTCAAAGCGGTTTACAATTGTTAATTTTTGGGCATTTGTCTCTCACTCCACACAGAGATGGGAGGGGCCAGTACAGGAGGCGCATGCCAGAACTATTGGACATGTTTTTAGTGGTAGGGGAAACCGGAGTACCCGGAGGAAACCTACGCAGACACAGGGAGAACATGCAAACTCCACTCAGAAAGGCCCTGGTCCGACCGGGATTCGAACCCAGGACCTTCTTGCTGAGAGGCGAGAGTGCTATCCACTCAGCCACCGTGCCGCCCTAAATTGTCTTTACAGCGCTGATTGTGGTCGAGAGGCACAGTTTAATTCCTTAGAAATATTAGTTTGTGTATTTTTGTACAGACCTGAATCACAGCAGCAGTCGTCTCGGAGGACTTTAGAAAGTTGTTGATTCCTCAACAACAGATCAGAGAAACAGATTTTTTACTTCATTCTTGCTTCTTTATTACGTGAAAGCTAGAGGTTTTAGACTTGCTTCTTAGGGAGTAGGAACCAATGTCCAGAAAAGTCCAAAAATGTCCCGGATCAAGGTAGGGCAAGTTCATTTGTATAGCACAATTCATACACATGGCAACTCCAAGTGCTGAACAAAACAATATAGAAAGACATAAATAATCACTGTCCTCCTGCGTCAGCTGGAGACCACTTAAAAACCCTTAAAATGTGAGAAAACTGGTCTAAATTCTCTTTTTAAGTTAAAGCATCAAAGTGTTGGACGTCTCTGGAGTCTCTTTATTTTGTTGTCGTTGCTGCCGACTGGATTCCCCTGAGACCGGATCAGGGCCAGGTCTGGATCAACTCCAGATGTATTGTTCCTTGTCCCATTTCTGAGATTTTCTGTAAATTTCATAATAGATTGATTGGATAAGATTCATAAAAGTCAACTCATAATAATTGAGTTTTTGTTGTTGTTGCAAATGACAGTGTACAGTGTTGTGTGAGGTAATAATCAGGATTCAACAAAAGGATGTGAGGAATGTATGAGAAAGTGACGGAGGACAAATATTGTGGCGGACCATGTGCTTTATCTGTGTACACACTTCATGGGTACTTGGCATGGATCAGGACCACACACACACACACATACACAGACGTTTAGCAGTCCAGTCCATTCCTGTAAAATACATAAGTTCATTCTGGGTCCTGCACCTTTCCTTATTGCTTCAATAGCTCAATTCAAAATGTCAAAAACTCACCAAAATCAAAATTCGACATAGAACACCACTTTTTCTGTTTCCTCAATTACATTTACAGTAGATGCTTCAATCACAACAGAAAAAAAGAAAAATCCACAGATACAGTATGGATGCTAAACAATCTCTTTAGCTTTCTCAGCTGGTTCCTCTCGACATGGAGGAGCAGCGACTTTACTCCGAGCTCCTCACCTTATCTCTAAGGTAATGCAAATGCAGCCACTCTGTATATGTGTAACCCTTTCATGGTTTACTTTTGCTCAATAAAATGTTTAGATAAGTTTAAATGTTAGACATATTTTTATCAGTTATTTCTCATGACAATAATCTCACATCTAATAATCTCAGATCTTTCCCCTTTGACGTCTGTGCAGGTCAGGGAGGGTCGTTGTGGTCAGGTGCAGATGGTCCAGGCAGAGGCCGGTCTGTGGGAGTGGACACTGGAGCCGTATAAGAGCCCAGGTCTGCAGCTGCTGTGGCTGTGTCTCTGCCCTCCTGGTTCCCTCCTGCCTCCTTCAGGTGTTCCCTCCTGCCTCCTTCGGGTGCTCCCTTCTGCCTCCTTTTGGGTGCTCCCTGCGTCTCTTCTTTTTTCTACTGAAGCGTTAAAGGTTTGAAGCCCAGGATGTTGGCTCGTGCTCTTCTGCAGACGTCGCTGCTGCTGTGGATGTTCCAACAGACTCTGCAGGGAGGTAAGAACCAGTTCTCAAACTACTAGAACTCCCAGAGCAGTCATTCTAACAGTTTTTGAGTGGTTAGCACTCTATTCTCAGCATCAAGGTCCTGGGTTCAAATCCTTGTAGGAATAGGGCCTTTCTGAGTGGAGACTGCATGTTCGATTTGTTCTGGTGTCTCCTACCACTAAAAACATGTACCTACAGTTCTCATTCAAATCAGTGGAATTTCAACCAGTTTTTTGTTTGTTTTTTTCCCCTTCCCTAAGTGCTAAAACTGGTGAAAATAACCGCAATAATAATGATAGAAAAAACAGTTTGGTGAAAGGCTATGGTAACACAGGTTTTACTCTAGACTAGTCTGATTTTGCCCAGACTAGTGTAGCTAGTAACTTGTAGTTCTCTGAGCTTCACAGAGTCTGGGTTTGCTTCATAGCGGATACATTTCAGAAGGCGGGGCCTTGTAAAAATTCGCTGTTTGTGAATGGATAAACCACTTGTCTGTTATCTTGAATAACGTCTTCCTTCAACCACTCACATCGAAGCACACGACTCCCATGGGTTGCCAAATGCCGGCAAGATTTTCCAGCCCAAAACCCGCGAGAATGCCCAAAAAAAAAAAACTTGGGCTATCATGATTCTGTTTATTGTCTTTCTGTTTATTTATTACCTACAAGTCTCTTGGAAAAAAGTATGTGAGAAACCACGCAACCTGGCAACCCTGCTGCGTAGTGTTGTCCAACCTGGCCACCCTGCTGCGTAGTGTTGTCCAACCTGGCAACCCTGCTGCGTAGTGTTGTCCAACCTGGCAACCCTGCTGCGTAGTGTTGTCCAACCTGGCAACCCTGCTGCGTAGTGTTGTCCAACCTGGCCACCCTGCTGCGTAGTGTTGTCACAGGAACACCAAACTTTACATGAACATTTGACTCTTAAAACACACATATAACAACATGGAACCATCAACATGGAACCTCATAGTGCATTAAAAGTGACATCCCTGTCTTAATTTGTTCGTACTTTTTTTTTAAATCACAGACTTCATGTCCGCCATCTTGGATTGCTTTTGTTGCCGCCTGAGACACGCTTGAGAAGGCGGTGCAAACCCAGCGTAACACCGGCGATCCTGATTGTTCGATTATTTTCTGATCTGCTGAAGGAGTTTGCGATGCGCTCAGACCCTTGTGTTCAGCCTCTGGTGGAGCCTCTGGTGGAGGATGGCGGAACTACAAGGGTCTGGCGAGAGTCAGGCTAAATCTTAAAATCTATAAAGATTTAATGAGTTTTGTTTGTATCCTTTATATCAATTTTAAGCAAACATAATTCATTGGGAAAACAAATGTAAAAACTTTTGCTACATTTTGATTACATTTTCCCTTAATCGCTATGGCAACGGCCCACTATATACTGTATACTTCATTCTCCCAGTCATGACATCAGAAAGTCCATAAAATATACTGATTATGACAGTTACATCCTTGTGTTTGGGATGGGCCCTTGTTTACCTTATGGTTGCTAGGTAACGGTCTCATTTTTGGTTCAGTACAGTTTAATCAATCACAGCGTTTTCATCCAGAAGATGCAAAGTGCTCTACAGTGTGGTTAAAACAGACTCGCCTCAAACAACATAATATATTAAGAAGTCACACACACACACACACACACACATACGCACACAAACAAACGCACACTCACACGTGTACACACACACATATGCACACACAAACACACGTGCACACACACACGCGTATACGCACACACGCACATGCACACACACACACAAAGGCACACTTACACACATACACACACACACAGAGACCAATAAAACCTCCACCTGTCATGTGCAGGCGCCCCCTGCAGGTGAAAGCCAGATCCTGTCAGACCTTTGAAGCTAAGCAGGGCAGGGCCTGGTTAGTACTGTGATGGTTTGCATAAACCTGCAGGCTTGAAATAAATGAATACATGAAATGAAAAATACATCAAAGTAGATCAGATATCAAATTCGATGGCAGTAAAACAAGCAGGTTACTGGACTTGGCAGATCCACAATCACAGCTTTGATCCACGGCCCATTCTCGCTCTGTTGAGATCTCGCTCTCTGAGATGTCGCACTGAGGTGACAGAGCTCCTCATGCACCGGGTCTGTGAGCCATCAAATCCTCAAATCAAAGATGGAGACTATAAAGTGTCAGCGGAGTGAGATATTTGCCATGAAGTCGCCAGTTCAGACTTGGGGGCGCTTGTTTTGGATGAATAGACGTTTGTGTGGGTGGAGTTTCCGATCAGAATGACTTTTATAACTTTGAAAAAACCGCTTTCACATCATGGTCCCCTCAGAACGAGCTCATGTAGTGGTCCTTTATCTACTGGTTTCAACTGTGTGAGAACAGTAAAAGTTATCGAAAGGTGTTTTTAAGCTGTTCGAAAGGTGTTTTTAAACTGTTCGAAAGGTGTTTTTAAGCTGTTCTAAAGTCTCTGAGCCACAGGAAGCAATTGGTCTCCCCATAAATTGTGCTGCTTTGGGAAGACTTTCTCCTTTATTACAACCATTCTATTTTGTGTCCTGAGACTTTCAAATGTCTTCATTGCTGGATTATTCAAGGCAATCATCTATCTATCTATCTGTCTGTCTGTGTCTGTCTGTCTGTCTGGCCGTCCGTCTGGCCGTCCATCTCTATCTATCTACAGTATCTATCTTTAGCTATTCTAGATAGTGACAGTGGCTCAGAAGAGCATTGGCCTTTGAGCCTGAAGGTCGTGGGTTCGAGTCCTCCATGAGACTTTCTTCATGACTCCCACTGAGGTCTGCTGTTGTTGTGTCCTTGGGCAAGACACTTAGATTTTTTCACAACAGTTTGAGCATTTCTCAGAACAATTAGTGCAAACTGCAAAACCTCTAGATAACCTGCAAAAGTCACTTTCTCAAAATGAAAAGTTAATTCCTCAAAAGCAAGTCTTCATGTCGATGAAACTGTCTCAGAATAATGAGTCCTGACACCAGTGTTTATGAACAACAGTCATATGACTCAGATCTCGTTGACACTTGGTGAGCACTAAATGCAGTAGAGCCAAAAACTACTGTAAAGTTACACATGACTGTATTTAGTGAAGTAACTGAGTACAAGACACATATGTATGTATATATTTGGTATGTACTGTGTGTGTGTGTATGTATTTCACATATTTACTGCATATGTTCTTTGAAATTCTACAGCATTGTGCAACAAAAATACAGTCACTTTCATGTTTGTACGTAGAACAAACAGAAATATCATGACGGAAGAACTGTGACAAATGTAAACAATAAAACACACACCTCCTCATGAGTGACGCTGAAATTTACCTGAGAGAAATTGTTCAATTTAGGAAAGATTTACAGGAAAAAATGAAATAAAGGAATGTATGAAATAAGGTTGACAGTTTTGTATATGACCAAAGCGATGAAATGAGGACTATTGGTTTTACAGGGAAAGACTATTCGGAAGTCATAAGTATGTTTCATTCTGACAGGACAGAAGCAAATGATGTCATAAAACAGCAGAGAATTGTACACAAGAGTCATGTCACACATGACTCAATGTTGTGGAGGTTGAACTAATAGTTTTGAGAACTTTAAGTCTGAGAAATACTGTAACTCCACTTTGCCTGAAGCCCCCGCTGAAAGATCTAGGCTCCTGTGGACTCAGCTCCTGCAGGAGGAACAGTGAGGGGCTGCTGCTCTGACTGCCACCCCCGACCCAGAAATGGATTAAGGGGAAGAAAATGGATGGATGGATGTTCTATATCCAGATTATTCTGTTCTCACAATATCTTTATTATTATTCACTTTTTCAGGTTGTTACTTTATTCTTGATTTCATTGTTATTATGTTGATCGCACTATAACGAGAGCAGTGACGTCGCCCGGCATGGCGCAGCCGGGGCCCCACCCTGGAGCCAGACCTGGGATTGGGGCTTGAATGCGAGCGCCTGGTGGCCGGGCCTTAGCCCACGGGGCCCGGCCGGGCTCAGCCCAAAGGGATGACGTGGGCAGTCCCTCCTGTGGACCCACCACCCGCAGAGGGGTCCGTGGTGGTCAGGTGCTGAGAGGACTGGGCAGCGGTCGAAGGCGGAGACCTCGGTGACCCAGTCCACACACACAACAGCTGGCTCTTGGGACGTGGAACGTCACCTCACTGGGGGGGAAGGAGCCCGAGCTCGTGGGGGAGGTTGAGCGATACCGACTAGAGATAGTCGGCCTCACCTCCACACACAGCTTGGGCTCTGGAACCCAACTCCTTGAGACGGGTTGGACGCTCCACTTTTCTGGTGTTTCCCGCGGGGAGAGGCGGCGAGCTGGGGTGGCCATTCTCATTGCCCCCCATCTCAGCCGCCACGTGTTGGAGTTCTCCCCGGTGAATGAGAGGGTCGCGTCCCCCCACTTCTGGGTGGGGGACAAGTCTCTCACTGTTGTGACGGCCTACGGGCCCAACGGCAGTGCAGAGTACCCGGCCTTCTTGGAGTCCTTGGGAGGTGTACTGGACAGTGCACCGCCCGGGGACTCCGTTATTCTCCTGGGGGACTTCAACGCCCATGTGGGAAATGCCAGTGACACTTGGAGAGGGGTGATCGGGAAGAACGGCCCTGATCTGAACCCGAGTGGTGTTCAGTTGCTGGACTTCTGTGCTAGTCACAGTTTGTCCATCACGAACACACGTTCGAGCACAAGGGTGTCCACCAGTGCACGTGGCACCAGGACACCCTAGGCCGGAGGTCGATGATCGACTTTGTTGTTATATCATCTGACCTTGACCGTGTGTCTCGGACACTCGGGTAAAGAGAGGGGCGGAGCTGTCAACCGATCACCACCTGCTCATGAGTTGGATCCGCTGGCAGGGGAAGAAGCCGGTCAGACCTGACAGACCCAAGCGTGTAGTGAGGGTCTGCTGGGAACGGCTGGCTGAGGCCCCTGTCAGACGGACTTTCAACTCTCACCTCCGGGAGAGCTTCTCCCAGGTCCCGGCGGAGGAAGGGGACATGGAGTCCGAGTGGACCATGTTCTCTGCCTCAATCGCCGATGCGGCGGCTCGTAGCTGTGATCGTAAGGTCTCCGGTGCTGGTCCCGGCGGCAACCCCCGAACCCGGTGGTGGACAGTCAGGCTGAAGAAGGAGTCCTATCGAGCAATGATGGTTCGGGGGACTCCTGAGGCAGCTGTCCAGTACCTGCAGGCCAAGCGTGCCGCGGCCCGGGCTGTTGCAGAGGCAAAAACCCGGGACTGGGAGGAGTTCGGAGAGTCCATGGAGCACGACTATCGGTCGGCCTTGAAGAGGTTCTGGCAAACCATCCGGCGCCTCAGGAGGGGGAAATAGTTCTTTGCCAACACCGTGTACGGTGCGGGTGGAGAGCTGCTGACCTCGACTGGGGATATTGTTGGGCGGTGGAAGGAATACTTTGAGGTTCTCCTCAATCCCCCCGTCACGTCCTCTGTTACAGAGGCAGAGGCTGAGGATGTTGGGGCAGATACATCCATCTCCCTGGCTGAGGTCACCAAGGTGGTTGGCAGCCTCCATGGTGGTAAGGCTCCGGGTGTGGATGAGATCCATCCTGATTATCTAAAGTCTCTGGATGTTGTAGGACTGTCTTGGCTGACACGTCTCTGCAACATCGTGTGGCGATCGGGGGCAGTGCCAATGGAGTGGAAGACCGGGGTGGTGGTCCCTCTCTACAAGAAGGGGGACCGGAGGGTGTGTTCCAATTATCGTGGGATCACACTCCTCAGCCTCCCCGGTAAGGTCTACTCCAAGGTACTGGAGAGGAGGCTACGGCCGATGGTCGAATCTCAGATTCAGGAGGAGCAGTGTGGTTTTCGTCCCGGTCGCGGAACACTGGACCAGCTCTATACTCTCCATCGGATACTCGAGGGTTCATGGGAGTTCGCCCAACCTGTCCACATGTGTTTTGTGGATTTGGAGAAGGCGTTCGACCGTGTTCCCCGGGGTTTCCTTTGGGGGGTTCTTCGGGAGTACGGGGTTCGGGGTCCTCTGCTGAGGGCCATCCGGTCCCTGTATGACCGGAGCCAGAGCTGTGTTCGCATCAGCAGTAAGTCAGACCTGTTCCCGGTGCATGTTGGCCTCCGCCAGGGCTGCCCTTTGTCACCGGTTCTGTTCACTGTGTTTATGGACAAAATTTCTAGGCGCAGCTCGGGGTCGGAGGGGGTCCGGTTCGGGACCACAGGATTTCATCTCCGCTGTTTGCGGACGATGTTGTCCTGTTGGCTCCAACAAACCAGGACTTGCAACATTCACTGGGGCGGTTTGCAGCCGAGTGTGAAGAAGCTGGGATGAGAATCAGCACCTCCAAATCTGAGGCCATGGTACTCGACCGGAAAAAGGTGCCTTGCCCTCTACAGGTGGGTGGAGAGGTCCTTCCTCAAGTGGAGGAGTTAAAGTATCTCGGAGTCTTGTTCACGAGTGAGGGAAGAATGGAGCGTGAGATTGACAGGCGGATCGGTGCAGCGTGCGCAGTGATGCGGTCGCTGTATCGGACCGTTGTGGTAAAGAGGGAGCAGCGTCTGCAGTCAGAGCTGTATCGGACTGTTGTGGTAAAGAGGGAGCAGCGTCTGCAGTCAGAGCTGTATCAGACCGTTGTGGTGAAGAGGGAGCTGAGCCGAAAGGCAAAGCTCTCGATTTACCGATCAATCTTCGTTCCCTCCCTCACCTATGGTCATGAGCTTTGGGTAATGACCGAAAGAACGAGATCGCGGATACAAGCGGTCGAAATGAGCTTCCTCCGCAAAGTGGCTAGGCGCTCCCTTAGAGATAGGGTGAGGAGCTCAGTCACACGGTAGGGGCTCGGAGTAGTGATCGCTATTGCCACTTTTGCTTGACTTTCTGCTTTGTTTTTACCAATGAGCAGATTAGTTGCGTATCGCGGCCGTGAACACCCGCGGAGTCGCAGCTGCTACTGTCCCCGTGAGGTTTATGGAGAAGTGTAGAGGACAGTGTAATGTGTTCACTGACACTAAATGATCAGACTGATGGGTTGTGTTCGTATGTTTACTCTGCGTCTCTGCACAGACGTGTTGCTGCAGCCGTTTGTCGGCTCACGCGTAAGTCAGCAGAGTATTTGAGGCGTTCACGAGTAGTCCGTACAAAATGTGTTGTTTTTACAATACAGAAAGTACAGGTGAGAGAACTGTAGAGCAGTAAAATCCACATGTATGGTCTCTGTGGCTGCTGTGGTCAGATGTTAGACTTTATGAACTGCGTGAAGCAGAAAGACCCGCGCACGTGCAGCCAGTCAGATGGCAGTGAAAATTACAGACATTGCTTTTCCCGTGTGAATGCACTGCACAATTTCAGACGTCCTCCGCAATTATCACAAATTATCAGAGGTCCACAAGTAATACTAATCCCGTCCGAATGGGCACTATGCACGCACCACTTCCGCGTTTTACCTACAACCCCACCTCACTTCCGGCTTGAGTTTCACTAGAGTTCAGCAGTGGTTTACACGAGTTTCCCAAATAATGCTCAAACGGGAATTAAACTGTGAGGATACAGGGCATTTTGGGACAGAGCAGTGCTGTGAGTGGCCACAGTCACAGCTCTTTCTCAGAGAGAAAGCACAGCGACACTTTTGGGTCAGTCTCAGCTGAATGTATCAATCTAATTACTAAAAAACGTCACTAAAACCCACCTAAAAGCCATAGGATAGCATAGGCAGGAAGTGAACGGGCTGATCTGTATTAACAGGAAACGTCACGCCTCCCCGTGCATATAGCCCATAGGACTTTAGTCTAAGTTCCAGAGAGAGACATACATTTTTACATCGACCTTTATTTTCCATTGTGTATTTTGTAGGTTTGAAGCCTCAGACGGTTGCGTATGGGAGGATGCTTCCCAACAGAGGTGACAGGACACACAGTACATTTGGACCATAAACAAATACTCATGGACCTTTTCCTTAAACATATCTTCTTATATTTCTTTCAGGTGTTGGCCACGGAGTCGGAGTCAACCCTGCAGGTCAGTAACATTTCATATGTTTATAGCTAGTGCTAATTGTCCAACTCCTGTCCGTGTTTTATAACCCTCTAATTGTTCTGTTTTCCTTCATTTGTCTAGTCACAGGAGCCCTCGGTGCAGTGGCAAACCGATACAACACTAAAGCCATGAAGGCTGGACGTACGTTTCACTTTCATTACATCCATTTCAACCCAAACCCTCTGTACAACTATTATTATGTACAGTTTACATCTGTAAATAAACGCCACTCTAATAACTGTGTCACCAATGGGACAAAGCTATTTAGTGTTATTTCAAGTTATTTTGCAAATTATGACTCATTCCAAGGACGACATTTCTTGAATTGTCTTTATTATTTTTATAACAAGACCGTTGTGCTTATCCCAATGTCAAATTTTGTTTTTAGATTGTCAAAATGCACTCAAAAGATAAAAAACACTTAATTTAAGCATTGATTACCTTAGATTTTATCATTTTTGGCAGAGTGGTCTGTGTTGGTCAAAACAACATAATCCACAAATCTCTGTCACCTTGGATTAAATTATCAAAATCAATTAAATGTTACAATATTGTTTTCAATTAAATCCAACACAAGTTAATAACAATAATGTTCTTTTCCACAGTTGGACGATACACAGGCGCCCAGCTCGGAGTCGGTGAGAGGTTTTTAAAAACTTATTTATAAACTTATTTTATGGATGTATTTATAAACATATTTTATAGATCATTTTATAAACTTATTTTACAGATGTTTTTATAAACATATTCTATAGATAATTTTATAAACTTATTTTATAGATAATTTTATAAACTTATTTTAGAATATTTTTATAAACTTGTTTTATAATTGTTTTATAAACTTATTTTATAATCTTTTTATATTATTTTATTGATGTTTTTATAAACTTATTTTATTGATGTTTTTATAAACTTATTTTATAGATGTTTTTATAAACTTATTTTATAATATTTTTATAAACTTATTTTATAATAGTTTTATAAACTTATTTTATAGATGTTTTTATAAACTTATTTTATTGATGTTTTTATAAACTTATTTTCTTTATTGCAAATCTCACCCCATTATTTTATATTAATATGATTATTCTAATAAAGTATTTACAGCTAAGGAACATAGCAGCCCTTACTACTGTCCTGTCAGTGTGCCACAACACTGAAATTTCCCCACTGTGGGACTAGAAAAGGTTTTCTCATTTATCTTATGAATCAAATGAGCAGATAGAAAAACCAAAAGCAATCAGGGTTTTGATAATAAAGAATATTTCTAAAGGGTTTTATATCTGAGTCCTAAAACTTGTGCTTATATTATAATATTGATTGAAAAACAGAAGCTAAATATTTAGTTTGTATTTTTTATTATTTGTATTATGTTTTAAATCTCTTGTTCCTTCCAGAGTGGTGTAAATGCCTCTGGTCTAAACTACAAAACACAGACACACACAAGTGGTCTGTGTCACATTCGCTTGTGAAAGTAAATGAACACATATAAATTGTTTTTTCTGTGAAATAGAATGTGTTAGTTATTAATTTCTGTTATAAATTGTCGTAAAAAGGCCTGAAATAGACTTTAATTTGACTTGAAGAAACCTGTGGAGCCCTAAAAACGAACAGTTTGTTCACTGTGGATTTAAACTTTTCTTTATGCCTTTTATATATATATACACATATATATACATATATACACTACCGTTCAAAAGTTTGGGGTCACATTGAAATGTCCTTAATTTTGAAGGAAAAGCTGTAGATAACTTTAAACTAGTCTTAACTGTAAAGAAATACACTCTATACATTGCGTATGTGGTAAATGACTGTTCTAGCTGCAAATGTCTGGTTTTAGGTGCAATGTTGTAATTGCTGCAAATGGAGGATTCTTTGACAAAAGTTGGATGTAAAACAAATCTTATTTCAAATACAAATCATTATTTCTAACCTTGTCAATGTCTTGACTCTATTTTCTATTCATTTCACAACGTATGGTGGTGAATAAGTGTGACTTTTCATGGAAAACACTTGGGTGACCCCAAACTTTTGAACAGTAGTGTATATAATTTATTTATTTATTTTCTTTTTCAGGAGGTTACAGGTCTCTGGGAGGAAGATCTGGACTGAAGCCTGGATACGGCGCACAGGGAGGATACGGTACAAAACTAACATGACTTTAATATAAAAAATACATTTGTTGGAACAATTCACTGATTAATTGATGAAAATGAAAATAAATTCAATATTGAATCTTAGTCTTGAGATCAGATGCATGTAATTTATCAAGCTGTGGTTTTGATGTAAATTAGGGCAGTTTTGAAGTAGTTATGAGAGTTATGACATTATCTTCAGGGGCTAAAAATAAGTCACATTTTGACTATTAAGGCATAAAAAGGTCTTTAATTCGATATTTATTTTCTATATCTCCCTAAATCACAACAGCAGTTGTCTCTGAGGACTATTTCAACATTGTCGATTCCTCAACAACAGATCAGAGAATCAAACGGTTCGAAAACACAAGAAATGCAATCATAAAAAACACAGAAGACATCGGTCCAAAGGGTTCAATTACCAATGTCCATAAATGTCCATAAATGTTAATAAATGTTCGTAAATATCCATACATGTTTACTGTAGTGCCTTCTCTCGTTAAAGGAGCCAGTTTGGGCACAGGAATGATGGGTCCTTCTCTTTCTAACGGACATGGTCTTGGACTGGGACTGGGCCAGGCTGGAAAACGTGGTCAGACTAAATGAGTTTTATACAAGGATTTGAAAATGCACATTCTACTGACAAGTTTTCTCTGGCTTTATTTCAGGCTACAATGGTGGTTTGGGCACCGGGCTTGGAGGCGGACTTGGAGGTGGACTTGGAACCGGTCTAGGGGCGGGCTATGGTGCAGTCCCAGGTAAATTCTGTCCATATACCAGTTTCATAAAGTGCTGTCTGTGTTCAAAAGGGAAGGATCTGAAAACTTCTATTCGAGTTTTACTGTATCATTTGACATAGTCCTGATTTGAGGCATGTCATTCGTCCAGATGGTAGAAGTTCAGAGCAAGAGTAATGTAAATTTACATAAATAATATCCAAAGAAATGTTAGTATAGTATCAAATATTCGAGTTACACACACACACGCACACGCACACATACATACAAACTGAAAGTCTGATTGGAGACAGCTCATGAATGTAAGGTGAATAGGAGGGGACCTAATGCTGATCCTTGTGGTACCCCTCCTGGCACAATTATTTTTATTCAATTATCGCCACATTGTACAATTCAAACATGTAATTCTTATCCATGTAACAGAGTCTTCAAATGACAACATTGCTTTTCCAGGAGGATACGGAGCTTTGGGTGGAATGGGGATCCCTGGACAGACCAGACAGGGTAAGAACACTGTAGTTGTAAAATCCGCATCAGAGGAAATAACTAGAAGGCCAAATATTCAAGTCAAGACTTCGCAAGCAATCTAAAACAGGCAGGCACAGTAAAATCACAATATTGAGGATAAGAAGAACAAGAGAGGATATCACGAAGTTAATTAAAAAACGAACATTTGCTGAAAAGCGCAATAGTGCAGTAGTAGGGCTGTGCTGTTAAGGTGCCTCACAGCTGTTGGGATACATGTAGTTCCCAATCTTTTTGTCCTGCACCCAGGTGCCCTAAAGAGCTACAGTGGGGCAAAAAAGTATTTAGTCAGCCACCGATTGTGCCAGTCCTCCCACTTAAAATAATGACAGAGGTCTGTAATGTTCATCATAGGTTCACTTCAACTGTGAGAGACAGAACATGAAAAAAATAATCCAGGAATTCACATTGTAGGATTTTTAAAGAATTTATTTGTAAATGATGGTGGAAAATAAGTATTTGGTCACTTCAAACAAGGAAGATCTGTGGCTCTCACAGACCTGTAACTTCTTCTTTAAGAAGCTCTTCTGTCCTCCACTCATTACTTGTATTAATGGCACCTGTTTGAACTCATCTGTATAAAAGACACCTGTCCACAGCCTCAAACAGTCAAACTCCAAACTCCACTATGGCCAAGACCAAAGAGCTGTCCAAGGACACCAGGAAAAGAATTGTAGACCTGCACCAGACTGGAAAGAGTGAATCTACAATAGGCAAGCAGCTTGGTGTGAACAAATCAACTGTGGGAGCAATTATCAGAAAATGGAAGACATACAAGACCACTGATAATCTCCCTCGATCTGGGGCTCCACGCAAGATCTCATCCCGTGGGGTCAAAATGATCATGAGAACGGTGATCAAAAGTCCCAGAACCACACGGGGGGACCTGGTGAATGACCTGCAGAGAGCTGGGACCAAAGTAACAAAGGTTACCATCAGTAACACACTACGACGACAGGGAATCAAATCCTGCAGTGCCAGACGTGTCCCCTGCTGAAGCCAGTGCATGTCCAGGCCCGTCTGAAGTTTGCCAGAGAGCACATGGATGATACAGCAGAGGATTGGGAGAATGTCATGTGGTCAGATGAAACCAAAGTACAACTGTTTGGTATAAACTCAACTCGTCGTGTTTGGAGGAAGAAGAATACTGAGTTGCATCCCAAGAACACCATACCTACTGTGAAGCATGGGGGTGGAAACGTCATTTTGAGCCAAAACCTCCTTCCATCAGTGAGCGCTTTGAAGATGAAACGTGGCTGGGTCTTCCAGCATGACAATGATCCCAAACACGCCGCCCGGGCAACAAAGGAGTGGCTCCGTGAGAAGCATCTGAAAGTCCTGGAGTGGCCTCGCCAGTCTCCAGACCTCAACCCCATTGAACATCTGTGGAGGGAGTTGAAAATCTGTGTTCACTGCTCCCGAGAAGATCTGCATGGAGGAATGGGCCAAAATACCAGCTACTGTGTGTGCAAACCTGGTAAAGACCTATAGTAATCGTTTGACCTCTGTAATTGCCAACAAAGGTTATATTACAAAGTATTGAGTTGAATTTTTGTTATTGACCAAATACTTATTTTCCACCATAATTTACAAATAAATTCTTTAAAAATCCTACAATGTGAATTCCTGGATTTTTTTTTCACTTTCTGTCTCTCACAGTTGAAGTGTACTCATCCAGTGTAAATACCCTCTAAATTGGATAAAACCACTCTAGATAAGCAGGTGTCCACATGTCACATTTGCTCTCACAACCTCTACAACCCTCACATATAAACCCCAACCAAAATACAAAGACATAGAAAAAAACCCCACTATACACAATCCCAACCCAAACCACTCAACAAAATAAACCAAGACCTAAAACCCGTTACAACCCTGCAGTCCCCCCCCCGCCTATTCTGCCCCTTGGTTCAGCCCGGAACGGGTTTTAGCGGCGTCCGTTCCCCCCCGGACTCTTTCCGTCAGACACGCTATCCTGGACACAAGAGACAAGGTAAACAAACTGCGCTCACACACACATTCACGCACCCAGACACCCGACCATTCACCGCATGCACAAACACTAAAACATTACCACTTCTTAAGCTACACATATTGCACTATGCCCAATTCTAATTACATGTTGCCTCCGCAGGACCGGCACCCTACCCGGAACGCACCACACCGGACCCACGGACAACCACAGCCCTCTCAATAAACATTCTTACATGAATATATGTGCAATGTCTTTATATGTGCAATCTAGCCATGTTCAAAAGTGCAGTGTGGGTTAGGTAACGAACGGCCGGTTTGTTACAGTACCTATGATGAAAATTACAGACCTCTGTCATTATTTTAAGTGGGAGAACTTGCAAAATCGGTGGCTGACTAAATACTTTTTTGCCCCACTGTATATTAGCCAAGAAAGATTGCAGTTAATTATAGGAGGAATGAAAATGACCTCTTTCCTTAATCAAATTGTTGTATATTGAGACATATTATCACTTCCTTCATCAGACCTTCCTTATAGGATCAAACTTTTGAATAAGATTATCAATAATGTAACTTCTGTCTCCACTGTGTGTAACTATCCTTGTGGTTCACGTCTTATTGTGGGTAAGAATGCCTTAAGATAAGTGCCATGTCAACACCCTTCCCCCAATGACTCTTCAAGGTGTGAAGATATGCAAGGATTTCACAGAAGACAAGTCAGTCTGCTTTCGGGCCAAGGAGTAGCAGGACCTCTGGGCTTTGCCCAGGCAACAAAGGGGGCCCTGAGCCTCCAAGATCGGCACAAACCTTAGCTCCAGGTTTGAAAGGACTTCCACAACCCTTCAATAGCCTCCAGCTTCAACCTGGAGAAGTTGCTGAACTGTGGCTCCTAGACTGTGGATTGTGGGAGGACTTGGTTCAGCCACATGATGCAGCCGCAGGGTCCAGGCCCCATGAACATGGGTTGGCCCCCATCCATCACCATCAAGACCCAACAAGGACCGCCATCGACCAAAGGCCCATTCTGCTTGTATGATCTGCTCTTGCTACACACAGTTGTTGGCTTAATGAAAACCGACAATTCAAACTAAGAACACTTGGTCTCTTACAAAGGCTGCAAACATATGGTGGCCTCGGCCTTCCAATCCATTCATGGACAAAGGCCTTGCTATAGAATTATCTCACCTTAGCCATAGAATTTTAACAATTTATCTTGCAATCAACGTTTCCTTCATGTTATTCTTGACAATGTGCATATTTCATATCTAATCTGTATTGTATATACAGTGGGGCAAAAAAGTATTTAGTCAGCCGATTGTGCAAGTTCTCCCACTTAAAATAATGACAGAGGTTTTCAAAAAATTCCAGGAATTCACATTGTAGGATTTTTAAAGAATGTATTTGTAAATTGTGGTGGAAAATAAGTATTTGGTCAATAACAGAAATTCAACTCAATGGAAGGAGGTTTTGGCTCAAAATCTCACGATACATGGCCCCATTCATTCCTTCCTAACACAGATCAGTCGTCCTGTCCCCTTAGCAGAAAAACAGCCCCAAAGCATGACGTTTCCACCCCCATGCTTCACAGTAGGTATGGTGTTCTTGAGCTGCAACTCAGTATTCTTGTTTGGAGGAAGAAGGCCTCTACTTTGGGTTCATCTGACCACATGACATTCTCCCAATCCTCTGCTGTATCGTCCATGTGCTCTCTGGCAAACTTCAGACAGGCCTGGACATGCACTGGCTTCAGCAGGGGGACACGTCTGGCACTGCAGGATTTGATTTGCTGTCGTCGTAGTGTGTTACTGATGGTAACCTTTGTTACTTTGGTCCCAGCTCTCTGCAGATAATTCACCAGGTCCACCAGTGTGGTTCTGGGATTTTTTATCACCGTTCTCATGATCATTTTGACCCCACGGGATGAGATCTTGCATGGAGCCCCAGATCGAGGGAGATTATCAGTGGTCTTTTATGTCTTCCATTTTCTGCCAATTGCTCCCACAGTTGATTTGTTCACACCAAGCTGCTTGCCTATTGTAGGCACACTCTTCCCAGTCTGGTGCAGGTCTACAATTCTTTTCCTGGTGTCCTTCGACAGTTCTTTGGTCTTGGCCATAGACAGGCTGTGGACAGGTGTCTTTTATACAGATAACGAGTTCAAACAGGTAACGAGTGGAGGCCAGAAGAGCTTCTTAAAGAAGAAGTTACAGGTCTGTGAGAGCCAGAGATCTTCCTTGTTTGAAGTGACCAAATACTTATTTTCCACCATAATTTACAAATAAATTCTTTAAAAATGTGAATTCCTGGATTTCTTTTCACATTCTGTCTCTCACAGTTGAAGTGTACCTACGATGAAAATTACAGACCTCTGTCATTATTTTAAGTGGGAGAACTTGCACAATCGGTGGCTGACTAAATACTTTTTTGCCCCACTGTACTTACACAGTTATACACTTTTAATGTACAGATAATGTGACGTCATCAATATCAGTTGTGATTTATTCACTGGTGCCCCAAAATAAAGCTATTATCAATTATTTTACTTACTACATGATTGTTTTTGATCAAATTCTCCAATATCAAATAAATAACTTAAATTATGTGTGATATCGACTTCAATAACCCCCACATACTTATATTAGCGAAGAAACATAGCAGCTACTTATATAAGCAAAGAAAGATAGCAGTTACTTATATATTGTATTGTATGTATTTTGTGTACTCCCTTTGTGCTCAATCTACTGTATGTGCGCTACAACCTTGAAATTTCCCTACTGTGGGACACATAAAGGTTCTCTTATCTTACACCTAAAAAAACAAGTGCTTACCATATTCAGTGCTTAGACCCCAGAGTTTCACCTTGTTAGCTTCATACTGGGCCTTCTTTTTCAAACGACAAGCTCTGCAATAAAAACACAACATAAATTCATACCATGTCCTTTTATATGCGTTATAAAGTAGTTTCACATGAGACTATAGAGATCCCATATGCAGTATCTGACCTGGAGGCTAGCTTGTTCTTCTCTTTGCGGGAGCGGGGACGTGCGTTGATGGGCAGCTCGCTCACGGGGGTCAAGTCGCTGATGACTTTGTTGAGTTTTCGCAGCTCTGTCCCGATCTGCAGCAGTTTACGAGGGTTCGGAGTCAGGTCTTCCACATCCGTGCGACGGGATTTCTTCACTGGTTCGCGGTGGGGTTTAAACAAACGGGTTGAATGTTACTTTCATATAGTCCTTTAAGATAAGATACAGATGTTGCCTTATTTAATCTCACAGAGGTGAAATGTACATGTCACATTTGGCTGGTAGAGACACATTGTGCAAAAGGAGGAAATGTGCACTGTAACATCAGGATATATGTACAATAAAGTGGACAATAATTATGTACAACAAAAAGTGACAAGTTGTCAATTGGAAACACTGTCAATAGTAAAAAGTTGACACCTAAGTTTGTGTTCGACTGAGGGCTTACGTCACAAACTTTAGGGTCTTGTCAACATAGTAGTGCAGGTTTCTCAAACAGTGATCATTTAAAGTGACTATATTGTACAGTCTGACAGCGGTGGGGATAAATGCCCTGCGGTAGGCTCCTTCCTGCACTGAGGTGTCTCAGTCTTCCACTGAAGGAGCTCTCAGCTCCTCTACAGTCCTGTGCGGTGGGAAGGTGTTGTCCATGATGGAGGTGGCTTTGGCTTAGCACCCTCTGTCCCTCAACATCCTCACAGAGTCTGGGGCCTCCTGTCCCTCACCTCCTCCACAGAGCCAGGGGCTCCTGTCCCTCACCCTCCTACACAGAGTCCAGGGGCATCCTGTCCCTCAACCTCCTCCACAGAGTCCAGGGCCTCCGGTCCCTCACCTCCTCCACAGAGTCCAGGGGCAGGTATTTTGTGACAAACTTGATGCATGTTGCTTTTAGTGTTTTACTATAAATGGTCAGTGATTATGTTAAAGCCTAACACTCAGACACAGTTTCATGAACAGACATGAGTAAACATGTTTCTAGTTTAAACACAGTCAGAATGTGTTGTGATAAAACCAGTCGATTCCAGAAATGATTACCACATACAGTGCCTTGCGAAGGTATTCGGCCCCCTTAAACCTTTCAACATTTCGCCACATTTCAGGCTTCAAACATAAAGATATAAAAATTTAATTTTTTGTCATGAATCAACAACAAGTGGGACACAATCGTGAAGTGGAACAAAATTTATTGGAGAATTTAAACTTTTTTAACAAAAAAAAACTGAAAAGGGGGGCGTGCAATATTATTTCAGTGCAGCAAACTCAGTCCAGAAGTTCAGTGAGGATCTTTGAATGATCCAATGTTGTCCTAAATGACTGATGATGATAAATAGAATGCCCCTGTGTGTAATCAAGTCTCCGTATAAATGCACCTGCTCTTTGATAGTCTCAGGGTTCTGTTTAAAGAGAGAACCATGAAGACAAAGGAACACACCAGGCAGGTCCGAGATACTGTTGTGGAGAAGTTTAAAGCCGGATTTGGATACAAAAAGATTTCCCAAGCTTTAAACATCTCAAGGAGCACTGTGCAAGCAATTATATTGAAATGGAAGGAGTATCAGACCACTGCAAATCTACCAAGACCCGGCCGTCCCTCCAAACTTTCATCTCAAACAAGGAGAAGACTGATCAGAGATGCAGCCAAGAGGCCCATGATCACTCTGGATGAACTGCAGGTAACTACAGCTGAGGTGGGGATGGTGTGTTCAGGGTGATGAGCTGTGTTGCTTTTACGCCAAACATATCGTTTTGCATTGTGGCCAAAAAGTTCGATTCTGGTTTAATCTGACCAGAGCACCTTCTTCCACATGTTTGGTGTGTCTCCCAGGTGGCTTGTGGCAAACTTTGAAAGACCTTTTATGGATATCTTTGAGAAAAGGCTTTCTTCTTGCCACTCTTCCATAAAGGCCAGATTTGTGCAGTGCACGACTGATTGTTGTCCTATGGACAGACTCTCCCACCTCAGCTGTAGTTATCTTCAGTTCATCCAGAGTGATCATGGGCCTCTTGGCTGCATCTCTGATCAGTCTTCTCCCTGTTTGAGATTAAAGTTTGGAGGGACGGCCGGGTCTTGGTAGATTTGCAGTGGTCTGATACTGCTTCCATTTCAATATAATTGCTTGCACAGTGCTCCTTGAGATGTTTAAAGCTTGGGAAATCTTTTTGTATCCAAATCCGACTTTAAACTTCTCCACAACAGTATCTCGGACCTGCCTGGTGTGTTCCTTTGTCTTCATGGTTCTCTCTGCGCTTTAAACAGAACCCTGAGACTATCAAAGAGCAGGTGCATTTATACGGAGACTTGATTACACACAGGAGCATTCTATTTATCATCATCAGTCATTTAGGACAACATTGGATCATTCAAAGATCCTCACTGAACTTCTGGACTGAGTTTGCTGCACTGAAAGTAAAGGGGCCGAATAATATTGCACACCCCACTTTTCAGTTTTTTATTTGTTAAAAAAGTTTAAATTATCCAATAAATTTTGTTCCACTTCACGATTGTGTCCCACTTGTTGTTGATTCATGACAAAAAATTAAATTTTTATATCTTTATGTTTGAAGCATGAAATGTGGCGAAATGTTGAAAGGTTCAAGGGGGCCGAATACTGTATTTCATCATGTTTTGCAGTGTATCTTAAAAATGCCCTAATGTGTGACCGTTGATCTGCAGGTTACGCTAACGGTTACGGTGACGCCTACGGAGCCGGTGAGTGCGACCCACAATCCTCTCTGTCCCTCTGTGTGCACATTCAGGTCATCTCCTACTGCATTAAAGTGTTTAACAGTGTTTAGTGGTTTCTTTATAGGCCGTGATTTACCCGCAGACTTAACAACTGTGCCCGACAAAAAAAGTAAAGGTAAAAATGTGTGATGAATCAGAAACTAAAATGCTATTAACGGGTTCTGTTTGTAGATAATTGGGTGGATTTGGAGCATGAGACAGGAGCAGTGGTTTAACTTTATTTGTGGAAAGTCCATGAGTACTTTACATAGTTGTCGACTCCTCAACAACACCTCAATAATTAATAACAAGGAAAATATTTGGACACTGCAGAATTCAGGTGCCACAGTGGGGCGGCTGCAACAGTCAAACTGTGGCTGTGTCCTTAGGCAAGACACTCCATAGTGGTAGTAGTAGTAGTAGTAGTAGATAAGATAAGATGTGCTTTATTTATCTCACATAGGAGAAATGTACATGTCACATTTGGCATGGATAGAGACACTCAGATTGTGCAAAAGGAGGAAATGTGCAAACATGTTACATGCAGGATATATATGTACTACAAAAGTGACAATAATTATGTACAACAAAAGTGACAAGTGTCAATTGGAAACAGTGTCAATAGTAGTGCAGGTTTTCACACAGTGATCATTTAAAGTGACTTATTGTACAGTCTGACAGCAGTGGGGATAAAGGCCCTGCCTTCCTACACTGAGGGTGTCTCAGTCTTCCACTGAAGGAGCTCCTCAGCTCCTCTACAGTCCTGTGCAGTGGGAGGTGTTGTTCATGATGGAGGTGGCTTTGGCTAGCACCTCCTGTCCCTCACCTCCTCCACAGAGTCCAGGGGCCTCCTGTCCCTCACCTCCTCCACAGAGTCCAGGGGCCTCCTGTCCCTCACCTCCTCCACAGAGTCCAGGGGCCTCCTGTCCCTCACCTCCTCCACAGAGTCCAGGGAGCAGCCCAGAGTGGAGCTGGCCCTCCTGACCAGCTTGTTCAGTCTGTTTCTGTCCCGCTCTGTGCTGCCCGGGGCCCAGCACACGGCAGCGTAGTAAATGGCAGAAGCAACCACAGAGTCATAAAAAGTCCTGAGCAGAGGCCTGCTCACTCCGAAGGACCTCAGCCTCCTCAGAAGGAAGAGGCGACTTTGGCCCTTCTTGTGCAGGGCGTTTGTATTATGGACCAGTCCAGTTTATTGTTAATGTGAACACCCAGGTACTTGAAGCTGTCCACCAGCTCAATGTCCTCCCCCTGGATGTTCAGCAGCGTGTGGGAAAGTGGTTTTCTCCTGAAGTCGATGATCATCTCCTTGGTCTTACTGGTGTTCAAGCACAAGTGGTTGCGCTCACACCAGTCGACAAAGTCCTTGATAACCGACCGATATTCCAGTTGGTTCCCCTCAGACACACAGCCCACGATGGCGGAGTCGTGGGAGAACTTCTGCAGGTGACAGCTGTGTGTGTCGTGTGTGAAGTCTGAGGTGTAGATGGTGAAGAGAAACGGTGAGAGGACAGTGCCCTGAGGGGCCCCAGTGCTGCAGACAACCACCTCAGACTCACAGCTGCAGCCGCACGTACTGTGGTCGCTCTGAGAGGTAGTTGATGGGTAGTTGATGATAGTTGATGATAGTAGTAGCATCTGCTACTACGCAGTAGTAGTAGCAGCAGCAGCAGTAGCAGCAGTAGCAGCAGTAGCAGTAGCAGCAGTAGCAGTAGCAGTAGCAGTAGCAGCAGCAGCAGCAGCAGCAGTAGCTGTAGTATTTTGATTATAGTTGAAACATCAGAGACAGGGAAGACACAGAGTCGTCCTCAGAACTTCCTCTGCTCCTGTCGGCTCCAAATTGAGTTTTCGTGGAACAATTATCTACTCCTTAAATATATTTTCACTTTTTCTCTTCTGTTCTCACTGGTCATGACTCTAACGAATCAAATCTTTTTAACCATCTGTGTTTGGAAATGCCATGTTCCGGGAGGTGAACATGTGCCTTCTCCACCAGAGGGCGCTGCTGGCCTGACGCAGTGACTCAATAATAATTAAAGTCATGTGGTTATTGTGCTTTTCCAGCTTTAGGAGCCGGAGCCTTCCCTGGACAACTGCCTGGAGCTGGATATGGTAAAAGTTTAACTAAAATCTATAAAAAAATCAATAAAGGATATGTTTAAAGACGGGTTGCCATGGTTACAGTAGCATTAAGACCTGTTGAGTTTGATGTACTAAAAGCTCACTTGTTATTTTGGTCATTTCAGTTTTAATTGATTGAATAAACTTGAAATCAAAACGAGTTCTCCAGATTTCAAATAACTTTTAAAATCTGGAAAAAAAGCTCTGTTCCAATATTTGTTCAGTATTTGTAATAAATATGAAAAGGAATTAGTAACTTATTGATCATTCAAAAATCCCGACGCTTTCTCACAGTGTTTACAAATGTATTCAGGATTTAAATATTTAACCTTGGGTTCTAAAAACAGGTAGAGAAAACAGAAGCTTTTAAAGCTGGGGTACGTAACTTTCAAACCCTGATAAACGTAACTATTAAAAAGCTTTTTCAGACAGAGAAGTGAAGAGAGGACCGGCCTCACTCAGCCAATCAGCTCCTAGCCCAAAGAGGCAAATAGTGACTCACAGGGACTTTCACAGTCAAAGGGACAAACTGTGACTGAGATTGAGGAGTTTACTTTTCAAATGGTAAAAATGTTAAAATATGAGGTAATAATGGCTTAATTTGAGTGGTTTTTGGTCCCATTGGCAAATTGTGTTTTATGGAAGTCAAATATTTTCCATGAAGCTGTGAAAAAGAAAACTGTTCCTGGTTCATGTCTCACTCAAGTGAAAGTCTAGTTTCAATTCTAGTCTTAGAATTAGATTTGAGATCCTTTCGACAGTGCAGAGTATAGTGTAGTGTAGTGTATAGTGTTGTGTTGTGTTGTGTTGTGTTGTGTTATGCCGTGCAGTGCCGTGCCGTGCCGTGCCGTGTTGTGTTGTGTGTTAAAAGCCAGCAGACCAACTATTCCTATGTGTTTGAACCTCTATCATAGACGAGACTTTGTTTCCTCATAGATCTCTTGTGTGTTTCTCTTTCAGGAGCGCTCGGGGCCGGGATGGAGTCGCTTCATGGAAAATATGGTGAGATTCCAGAGTCCAAACTCCGACAGCGACGAAACATAAGAATATTCTAACTGACTATACTGAACATGAAATGAATGTGTTTGGTTCCAGGAGGAGCGGGGCAGCTCCCGTACGGGGCTGTACCTGTGATACAAGCCGGACTCGAAGGTACAATATCCTCAGAAAGATGAAGTTTCTCTTGGTTTCCTCTTGGACATCTCTAAACTCTGGAATTTAGAGATGAGATGTTTTAGATCGTGTTGTTCAACCATGGGCACCGGGACTGACTATTCTAAAGTTTAGATCCTTTCAATACATATTTCAGAGATCATGAATAATAATACTAATAATAAAAAAATAAATAATAGTAATGACACATTCATTTTTATTTGTATGGCACTTTTCAAAAACAGTATTTATACAGAATGCACAGTCACAATAAAGCAGTAAAAACATAACAGTCATAATAATATAACAGATCAAAAAGAAACACAGCATTAAAGCGGACAAGAGAGACCAAACTAAGACGGGAAGCTAGTCTTACATGTAGACTTTAAACAGGTCTGTCGGTAAAAGTGACTTTTACATCCCTATGTAAGACTCCTCAGAGTCCCAGCAGGAGTCCAGTCCCTGTGCTCCTCAGAGTCCCAGCAGGAGGCCAGTCCCTGTGCTCCTCAGAGTCCCAGCAGGAGTCCAGTCCCTGTGCTCCTCAGAGTCCCAGCAGGAGGCCAGTCCCTGTGCTCCTCAGAGTCCTAGCAGGAGGCCAGTCCCTGTGCTCCTCAGAGTCCCAGCAGGAGGCCAGTCCCTGTGCTCCTCAGAGTCCCAGCAGGAGGCCAGTCCCTGTGCTCCTCAGAGTCCCAGCAGGAGGCCAGTCCCTGTGCTCCTCAGAGTCCCAGCAGGAGTCCAGTCCCTGTGCTCCTCAGAGTCCCAGCAGGAGGCCAGTCCCTGTGCTCCTCAGAGTCACAGCTGGAGGCCAGTCCCTGTGCTCCTCAGAGTCCCAGCAGGAGGCCAGTCCCTGTGCTCCTCAGAGTCCCAGCAGGAGGCCAGTCCCTGTGCTCCTCAGGAGTACCAGCAGGAGTCCAGTCCCTGTGCTCCTCAGAGTCCCAGCAGGAGGCCAGTCCCTGTGCTCCTCAGAGTCCCAGCAGGAGGCCAGTCCCTGTGCTCCTCAGAGTCCCAGCAGGAGGCCAGTCCCTGTGCTCCTCAGAGTCCCAGTCCCTGTGTTGAATCATTGCCTAAACCGTCATAAAAAGTATCTTCTTCCTCCTCTCTTCTTGCTCCTCTCTTCTTCCTCTCTTCTTCTTCCTCTCCTTCTCTTCTTCTTCCTCCTCTCTTCTTATTCCTCTCTTCTTCCTCTCTTCTTCCTCCTCTCTTCTTCCTCTCTTCTTCTCTTCCTCCTCTCTTCTTCTTCTTCTCTCTTATGTTTTAGGTGAAGGGGGATATCCGTTCTCTCAGACTCTCGGTCTGGAGGCAGAAGGCGCGAAATCTGCAAAAAGTTATGGTCGGTATTTTTGTAAATGTGTGAAAAACATGATGCACTTTGACATTTACTTTCAGACGGGTGTAGAGTTCGGTTTGTGTGATAATGTGGAGAAATATACTGCAGTCACATGAAAGACGTGATGTGACATCACTCCACAAAGTAGTTTTTCATTTGATAGCAAGTCCACCCCGCTCCCATCTCTGTGTGGAGTGAGAGACAAATGCCCAAAAAAATAACAATTGTAAACCGCTTTGTGACTCTGGTCTGTGAAAGGCGGTATATAAATAAAGCTTACTTACTTACTTACTTACTTACTTACTTACTTACATCAGAGACCATACAAAAAGGTATTTTTTTTTTTCAAATAGAAATAAATAATAATAAAAATGTGACATTCTCCCCCTGCCCTCCATCAAACCCAACTCCCAGCTTCAAATGTGAAAAGTATTGCATTAGCATTTCTGGACACACTTAGCTAACAAACACACTTAGCCAACAAACTAGCTATTAGCCAACAAACTAGCTATTAGCTAAACTTGACTGTTGCATTATCGCCCGGTCGGCACTAGATCATAAACGGAATCGGGACGAAACCGGAAGTAACAATCCTACTTTCAAATTAGTTTTAGACTAATCAGTCCTTAAGTGGTGACTGGTTAAGTTTTAGGCGTCTGAGTAAGATGGTTAAGGTTAGGGTTAAGGTGGTCTGAGTAAGATGGTTAAGGTTAGGGTTAAGGTGGTCTGAGTAAGATGGTTAAGGTTAGGGTTAAGGTGGTCTGAGTAAGATGGTTAAGGTTAGGGTTAAGGTGGTCTGAGTAAGATGGTTAAGGTTAGGGTTAAGGTGGTCTGAGTAAGATGGTTAAGGTTAGGGTTAAGGTGGTCTGAGTAAGATGGTTAAGGTTAGGGTTAAGGTGGTCTGAGTAAGATGGTTATGGTTAGGGTTAAGGTGGTCTGAGTAAGATGGTTAAGGTTAGGGTTAAGGTGGTCTGAGTAAGATGGTTATGGTTAGGGTTAAGGTGGTCTGAGTAAGATGGTTAAGGTTAGGGTTAAGGTGGTCTGAGTAAGATGGTTAAGGTTAGGGTTAAGGTGGTCTGAGTAAGATGGTTAAGGTTAGGGTTAAGGTGGTCTGAGTAAGATGGTTAAGGTTAGGGTTAAGGTGGTCTGAGTAAGATGGTTAAGGTTAGGGTTAAGGTGGTCTGAGTAAGATGGTTAAGGTTAGGGTTAAGGTGGTCTGAGTAAGATGGTTAAGGTTAGGGTTAAGGTGGTCTGAGTAAGATGGTTAAGGGTTAGGGTTAAGGTGGTCTGAGTAAGATGGTTAAGGTTAGGGTTAAGGTGGTCTGAGTAAGATGGTTAAGGTTAGGGTTAAGGTGGTCTGAGTAAGATGGTTAAGGTTAGGGTTAAGGTGGTCTGAGTAAGATGGTTAAGGTTAGGGTTAAGGTGGTCTGAGTAAGATGGTTAAGGTTAGGGTTAAGGTGGTCTGAGTAAGATGGTTAAGGTTAGGGTTAAGGTGGTCTGAGTAAGATGGTTAAGGTTAGGGTTAAGGTGGTCTGAGTAAGATGGTTAAGGTTAGGGTTAAGGTGGTCTGAGTAAGATGGTTAAGGTTAGGGTTAAGGTGGTCTGAGTAAGATGGTTAAGGTTAGGGTTAAGGTGGTCTGAGTAAGATGGTTAAGGGTTAGGGTTAAGGTGGTCTGAGTAAGACTAGTGTGTGTGTGTAAGGTGGTCTGAGTAAGATGGTTAAGGTTAGGGTTAAGGTGGTCTGAGTAAGATGGTTATGGTTAGGGTTAAGGTGGTCTGAGTAAGATGGTTAAGGTTAGGGTTAAGGTGGTCTGAATAAGATGGTTAAGGTTAGGGTTAAGGTGGTCTGAGTAAGATGGTTAAGGTTAGGGTTAAGGTGGTCAGTGACTAGTGACTAGTTTATACTACTAGTGTGTGTCAGTGACTACAGTTATACTAGTGTGTGTCAGTGACTACAGTTATACTAGTGTGTATCAGTGACTACAGTTATACTAGTGTGTATCAGTGACTACAGTTATACTAGTGTGTATCAGTGACTACAGTTATACTAGTGTGTATCAGTGACTACAGTTATACTAGT